ACTTCATGACTACTGAGTTCTGGGTGGCTCCTACCCTCTGGACAGGGTCATCTGTCCTGACTCATTCAGGAATTAATACTTTGCTTCTCTTCCAAATGTCCTCCATTTGGTTATTCCTGTCCTGGCCGCATCCCTGGTACAGCCAGGCTTCCTTCCTGCTGTGCCTCCAAGGGGTGTGTGTGTCCTAGTCATTTCTGTCTTCATCGGCTTCCTCTCAGGTGACTTCCTTCTCCTCACCCAGAAAGTGGCTTTCGAAGTCATGCTCATGGCGTGCTTTGAAGATTTTGTTTTTTTCTTTTGTTTTATTGCAACCCGTCTGGTTTAGTTTCCTCTCCTTGGTCACACGAGCTAGGTCATCTCAAAGCTCCTTTCCGGTGGGTCATCCCCTAGGCCCAGAGTACGAGGTTCATCACACCGCGTGGTGTACCCAGAGATTAGAGTCTGGAGAGTTCGTCTGCTTGCTTCACAGTAACCCAGTAGAGTCAGCCGAGGAGGCCAGGCAGGGACTCCTGTGGACAAAGGTGGCGAAAGAAATACCCAGATAGTGGAGCAAAGAGTTGGCACAAGTCAGGCCAAGAGCATAGCTCCAGACTCTGCTCTTCCTGTCCCGACAAGGTACATAGAGTCTGTCGTACTCAAGACATTTGGGCCGAGAGGTTTGGGGTCCATGATACCTAGCAGCAATGTGTCCAACAACCCTAAGTGCTTGCTCTTGATTCCACGGAGAGACCTTAGATGCCCCAGATGTGAAGGGACAATGACAGCCATAGGTTGCTGTAGAGGTCAAATGAGAAAGTGGATTCAATCGTGTTTTGTAAAATGTGAGACACCCTAATCCCTTAACTTTCTTGGTGCCTCCATTTCTGAGGGACGGCCGGGGGAGGGGGCAGAAGGCCCCACTTGGATCTTCTGATTCTGGCTGACCTTTGTGGTCGTTTGTACGACCCTCAGCACCATCTTCCTAGATTGGGGACCAGGGTGTGACACCAGGAGCTACACACAAGGAGACTAGGACTATCCCGGGGCATACCAGAAGTTCCAGGCAGGGCTGGAAGCAGCTCCCAAGTCTCTGTGGGTCTTAGAAAGGTTTGGAGCTTCCCCAGACCACCCTGCTAGAGCTGGCCTGTTCTTTGGAGATGGCAGGTGAGTAATCTACTTGTGTTCCTCTCCTGAGGTCACAGCCCTGCTTCGGTCCAGATAGGAAAGTAAGGTGACGCTCACAGATCTTGCCCAGCCTCTCTGAACAAGGGGCATCTGTCGTGATCAGAACTACCTCCCTGCCTCCCCATACTTCCCCCACACCCTGTGACTAATGGTCTGTAGGAATAGAAGGCCAAACCTGTAAGTCACCTCCTTGGGCTCAGAGCCCAGGACTTATTCAGACACCAAGGTTGAGGCAAAAGAGTCACTGTTAGTTTCCTGTCCCAATGAGCTTTGTGCCCTTGTGATTCTGTTCTCTCTCTCTCTCTCTCTCTCTCTCTCTCTCTCTCTCTCTCTCTCTCTCTCTCTTTTTCCTTTCCTTTCCTTTCCTTCCTTCCTTCCTTCTTTTATTTTTATTTTTAAAATTGTATGTATAAGGGGGTGTTGCCTGCATGTATGTCTGTGTACTATGTGCATGCCTAGTGCCTGCCGAGGCCAGAAGAGGACATCAGCTCTCTTGGAACTGGAGTTTCAGATGGTTGTGAGGCACCATGTAGGTACTGGGAACCAAACCTGGGTCCTCTGGAAGAGCAGCCAGTGCTCTTTAGCTGCCCCCCTCTCCAGCCTTCCCCCTTTTTTCTTCTATTGATCTCTTTCTCTTTTAGAAGGGCACATAGCAAGATTTATTGGGAAGCTCTCTGCAGCGGGAGGGGTCTTGCGAAAGAGTTGCTCCCTGTGGTACTTTAACCTCCCTCTCCTGGCCCGTGGCTGCCGTACACCAGTCTCAGAGTGGTCCTGGCCATGACAAGTCCTCTGGGGAGCACAGATGTGGATGCCCTGTCCTCTGCTCCAGGGATTATAACTGTCCTGGCAGGAATGAAGATATTCTTAAAGACACTTGTGTCCCTCCCTTTGGTTATCAGATTTTTGAAACAGTGAATCCAAGGAATTGGACCGTCTCCAGGAATCTTAGGCTCGGAGAAAGAAAAGGCTGAATCCTGGCACCAGCCAGTGAGGAAGGAGATGTCACACAGTTCTGACAACCTGTTGGAGAGACTCGGAGTGGAGACGATGGGACCACACCTTGCCTGGGACTGCTGAGCATACATACTCATCTTAAAACATCAGCCGAACAAGGGCAACAACAAAAGACAGCTAAAGCAGAGGGGGGGGGCACAACAGAGCGAGGGGCAGAGCTCAGGTCTCACCCCTACACAAAGAGCGAGGGGCAGAGCACAGGTCTCACCCCTACACAAAGAGCGAGGGGCAGAGCACAGGTCTCACCCCTACACAAAGAGCGAGGGGCAGAACACAGGTCTCACCCCTACACAAAGAGCGAGGGGCAGAACACAGGTCTCACCCCTACACAAAGAGCGAGGGGCAGAACACAGGTCTCACCCCTACACAAAGAGCGAGGGGCAGAACACAGGTCTCACCCCTACACAAAGAGCGAGGGGCAGAACACAGGTCTCACCCCTACACAAAGAGCGAGGGGCAGAACACAGGTCTCACCCCTACACAAAGAGCGAGGGGCAGAGCACAGGTCTCACCCCTACACAAAGAGCGAGGGGCAGAGCACAGGTCTCACCCCTACACAAAGAGCAAGGGGCAGAGCACAGGTCTCACCCCTACACAAAGAGCAAGGGGCAGAACACAGGTCTCACCCCTACACAAAGAGCGAGGGGCAACTAAGGAACGCTAAGAAGGGAGAAATGCTCTTCCCTAGGGAAGAGCACACCAATTGGCTATCTAATACCAAACGGTGAGTTCTGAAAACATACCTACACATTTTAGATACTGCATTAAACATTTAGAGTTACAGCGCTCTGGAGTTCTGCTGCATTCCAAGGCTAGCCTAGTAGTTCTTTGCAAGGAACTTTGGGAAAACAAATGTCTTGATTTCTTCATTTGCTCTATAAGACCAGCAAGAACTCCTATAGATTATCATTCACAGGGAACTGAGAGGTGGCTCAACAGTTAAGATCACTTGCTGCTATTCCAGAAGACCCAGGTTCGGTTCCCAGCACCCTCATGGTAGCTCACAACCAGCTGTAACTCCAGATCCAGGGGGTCTGAAACCCTCTCTTGGTCTGCAAAAATACTTCATATATGTGGTACACAGATATATATGTAGACAAAACATTCATGCACATTAAAATAGATAAATCTTTGGACTGAACATAGTGGCGTATGTCCAGTCTTTAATTCCAGCTTGGGAGGCAGAGGCAAGAGGATCTCTGTGGGTTTGAAGCCAGCCTGGTCTACAGAGTGAGGGGTCAGATAGGGCTGCATAGTGGGACCTTGTCTCAAGTTAAACAGTCAATTGGTCAACCAATCAATCTAAGAAGACCCCTCCTGATTCATAGAGATGTGAGACTAAGAGGGATAATCACACAAGCATTTAAAATAATATCTAGTACTAAAAAATGATTGCATTAGTGGTAGTAATATTACTATTGTCTACCGTCATTATTAATCACCGGTAATGGTGTTAATAATTATGATATGGAGAAATGTTTTGTTTTAGGGATGACAAGGGGAATAAGCCCCTAACTCCCAGTTTGGTGTAGAATGTTAGGAAGGCTTCTTAGCAGGGTGATGCTCTAACCTGGAGACAAGTAGACAGAAAGAGAGCATTTCAGAAAAAGAGATCATTCAGGAGAGAAGGGGAGCAGGGGAGAGAGAGAGAGAGAGTCCACACAGAGATGTGAAAGAGAGGTCTCCATCAGAGAACTGAAGGGGGTTGGCATACTTGGGCTCCATGTGGGAAGAGAAAGATGAACCTCAAAGGTTCTTAGGGTAATGTTGGGAAGTTCAGACTTCATACCCTTTTGGATCCTAAGCAGAGGAACTATTTGTTTGAATTGGCTCTTTAGAAAAATCAGTGCTAAGACATAAAGGCCCTGGATTTGGGATAGAGCACATTGGGACAGAGGAGTACATTGGAAGGGATGGAGAGAGGAAAGAGAAGAGAGGAAATAATGGAATCATAATTTCAAAAACTGTTGAAAACTCAGTAGTGCTAAGTTCCGAGAAAGGAGGGGAAAGTTGGTTAGGAGTTGTTGTCTAGACAAGCTGGTGTTTCAGTGAAGGCAGAGCTGAGGGACACAGAGAGCAAGAGCCAATTTTAGGTGCTAATCAGGGTTTGAACTGGACTGATGAGCTAAAGAGAGGTAAGAAGAGGAGAAATGGTCCAGATTTCACCGTTATTGCCTGGGTGTCGTATCCTAACTTACCACGATCAGAAACACAGGAGAAAAGGTAGGTAGGTTGAGAGGAAGGGGCGAAGGAATCATTTGGGCACACGGGGTGTGAAGTGTCAAAAGTTGTCAAAGAAAAGGGGACTGCAGGCCACAGTTCTGGGGATCACCTAAGTCTATGAGCGTGTGAGTGGAGTGAGAATGGGTGAACCCCTGAGACATCCCTGGAAAACACCAGCATGGGAGGGAAGAGTCTGCGGGGGTGTGAGAAGAAAATGACGGACTGGATGGGGTGTAGGAGAATACGAAGAGGGATGAAAGAGGGGAGAGAGAACAGGAGAGAGAGAGAGAGAGAGAGAGAGAGAGAGAGAGAGAGAGAGAGAGAGAGAGAGAGAGAGAGAGAGCGCAGGGGGTAGAGAGAAAGGGAAAGGGGAATTTCTCAAACAAGAGAAGGGCCTGCACGGTACTGAGTTGTAGAAGATCCCTCAAGATAAGAGCAGGAAAGGAGCCGGGCAGTGGTGGCACATTCTTTTAATCCCAGCAATCGGGAGGCAGAGCCAGGTGGATCTCTGTGAGTTTGAAGCCAGCCTGGACTACAGAGTGAGTTCCAGGAAAGGCGCCAAAACTACACAGAGAAACCTTGTCTCAGGGGGAAAAAAGAGGAGGAAAGGGTCCCTGGCCTTCGGAGAGCAGGTGAGAACGGTGCCAGGGAGCCTGGGGACGGAGGGGACAGAGGGAGGTGAGAAGTGGGTGAGAAACAAGGCCGTCGACTAGAGGATTGAGCAGACAAGACTGGGAGAAAAGGTCTGAGCCACAGGGGCCAATGGTTTAAGGGAGGTTGAGGATTGAAGGTGGATGCGGATATGTTAGTGAGCTGGGGCTATGGGTGTGCCTCGGTGGCAGGGTGCTCACTTCCGTTCCCCAGCACAGCAACAAACCAACAGCCTCAGAGAGCTCTATTTGTGCATCTGTACACCATGAAAGCTGTTAGAGGATTGAAAACACAGGAGAGACAATGACACGAGTGGACAGGATCCTCAGAGGACCCAGAATCAGGGGACACAGGAAGAGGTAACTCCTGGTGGGGAAGACAGAGTGGGTGAGTCTCCCACCTACTCTTCACACAGGCTCCTTCTCCAGCCTTCTCCCTCTCTGCCTTGATCCTTAGTGTATTCCTCCGCCCCCATTTCTCTCTCTGGAGAACCTTGGGTATTGCTGGGCAATTGCTCTTCCATGAAGCTACATTATCATCTTGTCTTTCTTTTTATGTGTATGTATGAGAGCCTGCACGCTTCTCCGTGAACCATGTGCATGACCGGTGTCTGCAGGAGGCCAGAAGAAGGCATCAGAGTCCCTGGAACTAGCATTAAAGACAGTTGTGAGTCCCCCATGCAGTGCTGGAACTCAAACTCGGGTCCTTTGGAAGAATAGCCCATGGTCTTAACCCCTGGGCCTTCTCTCCAGCTCTACCTCTGCTAATTTTACTTGAGATTCACTGTGGGCCTGGAAGGTCTCACTTAAAACAGTACCATTGCCAGAAAAGAAAAAAAAGTCATATTAAGGATGATCTGGAGTAGGTTCTGTTTTGCACTTAAACACCAGAAAGAGAGGGCTCAAGTGCAAGCACTCACGGAGGCTCTCTTAGGTGTGAGTGGTAGTCTAGGACCCTGACACTCCTTCCTGCAGAAGCAGTTCCCTCCATCCCTGTGAAGGCCTCATCCGTTCCCCAGTTTCTCCTGGCTCCCTTACCATGGCCCTATTGCCTAAGAGCTACCAAGGCCCAATAGCACAAAGGCCCCGATGGTTCCACAGCCTCCACACCTCCTCTCAGCCGAGCAACACTGCCAAGAAAAACCAGAGGGCGAGTGAGAAAACCAGTTGTGATCTGCCCTGTCAGAGGTGGCAGCGCAGCAGCCGGCCCCACCTCCCCGTGCCTCTTGGAGCCTTGGGATGGAAGGGGAAGCAGACATTCCAGGATCAGTTTCCTGAAGCTCCAGTCCATCCAGCTGTCTGTGGGGGAGCAGCCCTGGAGCCAGCAGCAGCCACCATGGCCCAAGGTAGGGAAGTCCCAATGAGTGGCTAGAAAATGGGGACAATGAAGACCCAGAGACATCGAGGGCAGGAGGGTGGTTCAGAGGGAGAGAGGAGTGAGTCCAGAGCTGATTTAGGAAGGAAGCCATGAACCTCAGGATTCACTGGTCCCTGAGAACCAGGAGGCAGGGTGGAAGTAAACACGCTGTTGTGGCTGCCTCCACAACATGTGGGATGGGCAGGGCAAGGGATTAGGGCACTGGGATTCCTGTCCTCTGACACTAATTTTTTCACACTGGCCAACTCACTTCTCTAGTTTCTGCCTCCCATGCCTGAAATCCGGAAGGATTTGAACCATAGTCTTGAAGGTTCCTTACAGTGTTGAAGTTCTTTGATCTCCATATCTTCTCTTCTCCCTTAACTTCGGAAGTCCTCCTCATCATCATCTTCTGTCTACATCATCCTCTCTTCTCTAGATAAAAAGCCACTCTGAAGATGAAATGATTAGATGATGCCATCTATAAGGGATGGGCTTTTAACTTACTCTATACACGTGACATCTTCACCTTTATTTACTATATGTAATACAATAAAAATTTTACTCTTTCCTTCATTTTTATGTAAAATGTGTATACTTTTTAATTATAAAGGAAGAGTATGAAGATCTAGTTGGAGTAAAATAAAGCAATAATTTCAGATAAAACCCTAAGTACCCCAACCTCATCTTGAGTAACCATTGTTTCCAGTCTTTGGTCTAGACATTAGTATTCATATATATGCTGAATGTAATCGATTGGATCAATATGTCACTATAAATCCAGATACTATCGGATTATAAATTTCAACTTATTATTTTTTCCACCAACTTCATATCTTGGAGCTCTGTCCAGGCCAGTAGTATGTATAGACCTACTTTAATATTTCTCATCTTGTATTCTACAGTGTATGATTTATTCATCTCATCCTCTTCTAATGGACACTTAAGTCATTCCCTTTTTAAAGACAGACAAGCAGTCCTACAGTCAGCATTCTTATGCACGCTTCTGGCTACTCATGAAGAAGTGTCTCTCTAGGACAGACATTGAGATCACTTACTTTCTAAGTTCTTCCTACCACCCCCTTGTTAGTCCCCTCATTTTCTCCTTACTGCAAGAAGAGATACTCTAATGGAAAATGAACCTCCTATTTTAATATAGATAAGCACAATACAGTATATTAAAACAATAGAATATTGTTTGGTCATGAAAAGGAAAGCTAAGCACAATGCTATGACCATGTGTCATAGGCAGAGGGTGACTTGGCCGTGGTGTCTCTGGAGGATACGATAGATTGGAAGTGCTTCCTGTCGGGCAGGTGTTGCCCTGCTTGTTGGGTAGCCTTAGTCACACACAGACCTGAGCCAGTCAGCTTTAGGAAGCTGACTACTTCTTTTTCTTTTGTTTTGTTTTGTTTTTTTGTTTGTTTGTTTGTTTCTCGAGACAGAGTTTCCCTGTGTAGCCCTGGCTGTCCTGGAACTCACTCTGTAGACCAGGCTGGCCTCAAACTCACAGAGATCTACCTGCCTCTGCTCCCGAGTGCTGGAATTAAAGGTGTGCGCCGCCACCACCGCCCCACTTCTTTTTTTATTATTAGGAAGAAGTCAAGTTCTTTCCCAAGTGGCAGGGTTGGAATGTTCTTTCTGAACATGAATGGAAGCCAGAGATGGACAGCTGCTGTTGGGCAAAGAAAGAACTCCTGACTTGAGTCACAAATTTGAGTTTAACACAAGACAAAACTCTCATCTATCAGAAGCTCTGTTTTTCACCCCCCAAATGTGGATGACATGATGTTTCATCTATCCAAGGTTGTGGATATAGTGCTGAGAGAGTCTAAAACTTGAAATAAGTGCAAGTGGTTTTGCATAAGACAAAGAACTCTTCAAATAGCAAACGTGTCCATGAACCTGTATGTGCTGGTGGCTACTATGCTGCTTCTTTAACATCAACAATAGTAAATGACTAGCTAATGAAAATGATGTATGTTAACTCACATACATAAACAAAATAACCTACAGAGGTTTAGAAGATAAAGAGGGGGCTGGGTGTAGCAGCACATACCTGCAATACTAGCATCTTGGAAGGCTGAGACAAGATGGTGCATGTGAGTTCCAGGCTAACCTGAGTGATTGTGATCCTGTGTGACTGTGGTCTGACTCTTTAAAACAAGAGATAAGGATTAATTTTTTAGTCACATTTGCTTCTAACACCTTCATTTGAAGTATACAGTTAAGTGTATTCAAACAGTTATGAAAGTGTCACTACTCTCTAGTCTGAAAACACTCTCATCACCTCAAAAAGAAGCAGTCAGAGCCAGGTGTGGTGGTGTACTTTTAATCCCGGCACTCGGGAAGCAGAGGCGGAAGGATCTCTGTGAGTTAGAAGCCAGCCTAGTCTACAGAGAAAGTTCCAGGACAACCAGGACTATGTAGAGAGAGCCTGATAATAAGAATAAGAATGAGAGGGAGGAGAAGGAGGAGGAGGAGGAGGAGGAGGAGGAGGAGGAGGAGGAGGAGGAGGAGGAGAACGATAGGAGGAAGAGGAAAAAGAGGAAGAAGAGGAAGAGGAGGAAGAAGAAACATTCGGATCCCATCCCACCTTTCTCTAGTCCCTGGCACTCCCTAATCTCCATTCGATCTCTATGGACTTGGCTATTCAGACACTTCATAGAAATGGCATCATACAAAACGTGTCCTCTTGCATCTAACTCCTTTCACTGGCCGTAATTTTTCAAGGTCCTTTCACGCTGTAATGTGCTCAGTTTACACAAGTCCATTATTTTGACATGCTACATTTCTCTCTATTCATCAGCTCATAGATAGTTGTGCTGTTTGAACTTTTCAGCTATTTCTGTATAATGTTGCTATCAGCAGCCACATGTGGGTTTGGTGTGAGTGTATGCATTTACTGTTTGGTGGTATACAATAAGGGCTTCAATCACATGGTAACTCTGTGTTCAACATTCTAAGGAGCCTCTAGAGTTCTCCAAAGTGCTGTACCATTTTATAAGCCCACCAGCAAGGTCTAAGTACCCCATAGCACTGCATTCTACCAACACTTGCTGCTGTCTGTTTTCTTACCATAGCATCCTTATGGATGTGAAGTAACATGTTGTTCATGTGTATTTACCTAATGACCCGAGCATCCTTTCATGTGCTCATTGTCTTTTTTCCCCCTCTTATTTAGAGAAAGATCTATTCAAATCAGTTACCCACACTGGGTGGGGGACATGCCACCATGAGCATGTAGGGGTCATAGAACAATCTTGTGGGGTTCTTGCTGTCTCCCATGTGGGTCCCAGGGACTGAACTTAGGTTGTCGGGCTTATGCAACAAGTACTTTACCTAGTGAGCCGTCTCCATAGCTCCAGTTACCCAGTTTTTCATTTAGGCTCCTTGTTTTTGTGTTGTAGGGTTGATCTATCCATCCATCTGGTCACAAACACCTTATTAGATACACAATTTACAAATACATCCTCACATTCTGCGGATTATATTTTCACATTCTTTATTATGCAGAAATGGCATTAGCTTTGGTGAGACCCGACTTACTTGGATTTCTCCACTGATTCTGCTTCTCCTGTCATATCTAAGAGACATTGCCGACTTCAAGATGAGGAAGATGTACCTGTTTTCTCCTATGTGTTATAGTTTTAGCTCTCATATTCAGATCTTTGGTCCATTTTGAGTTAATTTTTGCATATCATGTGACGTAGGCAACCAACTTCCTTCTTTTGATCAACATTTAGTTTGTATGTGTCAGTGCTTGCTCTGCAGATTTCTCTGTGCACCGTGCGCACACGTGGTGCCCAGAGGAGTCAGAAGAAGACATCAGATCTCCTGGACCTGGAGCCAGAGGCAGTTGTGAGTGGCCACGCAGGTTCTGGGAACTGAACCTGGGTCCTCTGTAAGAGTAGCCTGTGATCTTACCTGTGGAGCTGTTGCTTCAGCCCAGACACCATTTTTTACACATGGATATCCATTTATCCCAGCACCATTTTTTGAAGAGAATTTTTCTATATTTGATTGTCTTGGCATTTTGTTCAAAGATCAAGGGTGTTGAATTTTTGTTTTGTTTCATTTTTGTTTGTTTGTTTGTTTTTTGAGACAGGGCTTCTCTGTGCAGTTTTGGAGCCTTTCTTGGAACTCACTCTGTAGCCCAGGCTGGCCTTAAACTCACAGAGATCCACCTGCCTCCCGAGTGCTGGGACCAAAGGTGTGCGCCACCACCACCTGGCTTAAGGGTGTTGGATTTTGCCATGTTGTTTGGTAGGTTTTTTTCTTTTTTAATTGAAACACAGCCAAGATAAAGTAGGTGGGTCTCTGTCCTTCCCAGCTTACATCTAGTGTTGTTACATCCCTCTCAAATTCATGGCCTCTTCTTATGTTGTTGCTGTTAAACACACAGATACAAAACCTACTGAATGAATTTGGCACTTCCCCATAAACAGCGTGAGACCTCTTTTCTAAGACACTTGGGTCTGTGTCTGTACTAATGTCATCCCCAAATTGCTTTGATTACTAGCTTTATAGTAAAGTATAGAAGTGCAAGCCCTCTGTGTCAGATTGCCTTAGAGCTGAACACCGGGCATGACTGTAATCCCAACACACTGGAGGCTGAGGCAGGAGGACTGTCATGAGTTCCAGGCTACACAGCAAGATAACTATGTTATCCTTCCCCTCAACAAAGAAATAAAAAGATTGCTTTGATTACTATGGATCCTTTCTTCTTCCCTATTAATTTTATGATCCACCTGTCAATTTCTGCAAAATGGCAGTTGTGCTTGAAAGTTCTGATTAAATTTTTTTGAGAATTTTATACCCCTCCGACTCCTCCCATGCTCCTCATCCCTCTCAAATCCATGACCTCTTTTTTAGTTATTGTCACACAGGCAGAAACATATGTATAAAACCTTCTGAATCCATTTAGTGTTGCTTGTATATACATGTGTCTAGGGTTGAACACTTGGGATTGGTTAAGCAACCAGGGAGCTCATCTCTGAAGAAAATTGATATTCTCTCTCTCTCTCTCTCTCTCTCTCTCTCTCTCTCTCTCTCTCTCTCTCCAGCCATTGATTGCCTGTACATATTTGTCTTAGGATAGAACCTTGTGAAATTTCCCCCCTCCACACTGTCTGTCAACTATTTGTTCATTATGTAGGTCTTGTTTAGGCAACTGAATGTTGAGATTTCATGAATACAGCTTCTCTGTCATATTTACAAGACACAGTCTTGCAGCAGACATCCTGGTCCTCTGGCTCTTACAATCTCTTGTTTCATGATTTCCCCTGAGACTTAGGTAGGAGTTGTGTTGTAGATATATCAAATGACGTGGGCACTTGGGTCTTTGGTCAGTATTGTGTTCAATCTAGAGCCATTAGAATGATCCTATCATTAATTGCCATTTGAATGATACCATCTTCTAACCCATGAATGTGGGATATTTTTCCATGATTTAAGTGAATTTATTTAAATGATATTTTGTGGGAAAAGTTTTGCATTCTGTTGTGAATGCATTACTAATTATTTTAGTCTTTTGCTACTAAAAATAGAATTACTTTTGCATTTTTCTCAGATTATTCATTGTGATGTATGAAAATTCAGCTGAATTTGCATATTGGTATTGAATCCATCCTGAAGTCTTTCTGTAGTTGTTAATTCTAGTTTGAGCATATTATTATTCTTACGTCATGTGTGAATACAGATGACTTTACTTATTTCCAATCTGAATGTCTTTGATCTCTTTTCCTTGCCCAATGGCCCTGGCTGGAACCTCCAGTACTCTCTGTCTTTAATGAGACAAGAGCAGGCAAGAACACTCATCTTTATTTTGCTCCTTATCTTAACAGGAAAGCATCCAGTCAGTGTTTCACTATTAAATAGGATTAGCTGTGGATTTTTATAGAGACCATTTATCATGATAAGGGCCTCCCTCTTTAGTTTGTTGATTTTTTTTTTAACATGAAAGGGTGTTAGACTTTGCCAAATGATTTGGTTAATTTATTTTCTTAATCAAAGCACAGCCAAGATAAAGCAGGTAGGTTTCTGTCCTTCTCAGCTTACATCTAGTGTTGGAATGTAGACAAAAAAGTAGCTAAGACCTGGGTGTGGTGGCGCATACCTGCCGTCCCGGAACTCCAGGGACTGAGTGAGGAGGATGAAGCGTCTGCAGCTAGCCTGAGCTATAGAAGGAGACACAACAAGAAATAAAGACTGAGTACCTATGCTGAGGCTGACAAGAGTAGATGAGCATATGGGCACGAGACATGCATTCAGTGTGAGCAGTTAAGATTAAGAGTAATTCAGCTCAATACTGTCAAGCAGTGGAAAGTGGGAAGGAGAGTGGTCAACTGGGACAGGTTTCATGAGGGACGTCTTGGGGGACAGGTAGGTAGGGCAAGTCTTTCTCCATACCGCCAGTTCCCAAATAATGATATGGAGACTTCTTATTAATTTTGAAAGCTTGGCCTTAGCTCAGGCTTGTCCCACTAGCTTTTATAACTTAAATGAACCCATTTATTATAATCTACATTACAATCATGTGGCTTGTTCCCTCATCTCTCTGTATTGTTCATGCTTCCTCTGCATCTGGCTGGCGACCCTGCCTTCTTCTTCCCAGAGTTCTCTCTTTCTCTGCCCAGAAGTGCCGCCTACACCTCCTGCCTAGCTATCGGCCATTCAGCTTTTAGTACACCAATCACAGCAGTACATTTTCAACAGTATACAAATACCCCACAACAGGTAGGGTTTGGCTGAGTAGTGAAGGATAACCTAGTTTGTTCTCTGTCGCTCTGACAAATCACTGACCACAAGCCATTTAGGGGAGGACAGGGCTTATTTGACTTAACAATTATAGTCCGTCACTGAGGAAAGACAAGGCAAGAACCTGGAGGCTGGAACTGAAGCAGAGCCCTTGGAGGAGTCTGCTTGCTGCCTTGCTTCCCCTGGCTTGCTTAGCCTGCTTTCTTATACCACCTAGGACCATCTGCCCAGAGATGGTACCACCCATGGTGGACTGGGCCTTTCCATCTCAATCAGCAATCAAGAAAATGCCCCCACAGACATGTCCACAGGCCAATCTGATGGAGGCAATTCAATTAAGATTCCCTCTTCTCAGGTATGTCTAGGTTTGTGTCATGTTGTGTGCTGCATTGAGGCTTTAGCAGGAATAAACCATGCAGACAGCCTGCCTGGAGTGAAGGATGACCTGGGGGTGGTGAGAATTGAGAATGCAATCAGAACTTAACGCTGGATACAGAGGGCCATGTGTCGCGTAAAAGAGTGTTCTACGTATCACAGACTGTAGACTGTCTTAGAATGTTTAAAGCAAAATGAGATGGTGGGGTCAAACTGTTTTGAGGGAAGGTGGATGGTGTGTTAAGGGGAGAGATGCTAGAGGCAGGAGAATTGTCGGAGCCTATTATAGTCACTAAGGACGAGACAAGGACAGGAGAACATTATAGGCACTTGGAAAGGGACAACCAACCTCATTGAAACTGTAAGGGAATGACTGAAAGGACTCGGTTACATGTGAATTGACACAGATTGAGGAGGAGGTGGATGAGCCTATTGTAATTTAAGCATTGTAAGCCACCCTCAGGTGACTGGGGACCATGCAAGACCATGGTCAAACAAGAACCCAGATACAGCCCTTCCAGGAGAGGCATGCTAGAGAAGAGTGTTTAATCTATGTTGTAGCTGAAGATCCTGAAGGCTGGGCGTGTCCTTTCTGACTTTGAGTATCCAAATATCCAGGACACTGGATCCATGGCATTGGTGGTGGTAGAGGGCCAGCTAATGGCCTAAAGTGGAACAGCTGTGCTAGGGGCAGGCGACCAGGAGCTTGCCCTCTGTTTTGCAGGTTGGTGCAAGGATAAAAGGGACTGTCAACTTGAAGCCCAGAAGGTGGGGATCAAGCTGGGCAGTGGTGGCGCACACCTTTAATCCCAGCACTCGGGAGTCAGAGGCAGGTGGATCTCTGTGAGTTTGAGGCCACCCTGGGCTACAGAGTGAGTTCCAGGAAAGGCGCCAAAGCTACACAGAGAAACCCTGTCTCGAAAAACCAAAAAAAAGAAAAAAAAAAAGAAAAAAAAGTGGAGATCAGGATGTGTCTGAAGGCATGCTGGGCTGAGGGGAGCATCAAAGCCGGGCAGGTCTACGTAAGAGTCCAGTCAGAAAGACCATGTACCTCCAGAAGTGTGCAGGGAGGTGATAGAGAGTGGAGGAAGTAGGGGAGGAAGAAAGAAAGGAAGAGGAAAGGGAGAGGAATGTGGGAGTACGGCATCTCCATAATCCTTAAACCAGACTTATGGCTGTAGTGTTATTGACTCCATTCAACCGACACGGAAACTCAAGTGCAATCACCAAATCACTTCCTTCAGTTTACACAACTGGTAAGTGATGAGCAGAACTGGACCGGGCTTCACAACCCTGGTTTTTGTCTGTCCCAGGCTGCCCCATCCCAGGGCTAGAGGTGGCCCTCACAGACCTCCAGAGCTCCCGGAACAATGTGAGGCACCACACAGAGGAGATCAGTGTCGACCGCCTTATTGTCCGCCGAGGGCAGGCCTTCAGCATCACCCTCTACTTTAAGAACCGGGGCTTCCAGCCGGGCATGGACAGTATCATCTTTGTGACTGAGACTGGTGAGGACCTGGCCCACAGGTTGTGCGTGTGTATGTGGTGTGTGTGTGTGTGTGTGTGTGTGTGTGTGCACACGTACGTGCGCGTGAAGTGAGGCATGTGTGTGTGCATGCATGCTCATTGAGCAGGATCTTAGAGGAATGGAAGATCACCATAAAGAGCCTTGGTTATCTTCTCTCCTAGGACCCTTGCCAGACCTGGCCAAAGGGACACGGGCAGTGTTTAGCCTCACAGGCAGTGGTGGCCCAAGCCCCTGGATTGCTTCCCTGGAGGCCAATGGGGCCACCTCCCTGGAAGTGAGCCTGTGTGCCCCTCCCATGGCAGCTGTGGGGCGATACCTCCTGAAAATTCGCATCGACTCCTACCAAGGTTCTGTCACGGCATACCAGCTCGGGGAGTTCATCCTGCTCTTTAATCCCTGGTGCCCAGGTGAGGCAGGTACCCACTTGGGCTCCTTTACTTCCCTCAGTGCTACCAGCGATCCAGGCTCAAAGGTTTCCAGCCCCTGATCCTTGGCCACCACAAGCCCCCCAACCCCTTGAATTCAGTACCTGACCTCCAACAACCAGAATGGAGAGACATAGATGCTTATTTACTTATTTGGAATTTTAAAATTATGTCTGGACTTAAATCGTAAACTATTATTAAGTTTAACCATCATTAACATCTACCTTCGTTATCTGCTTTTAAGTTCATTTGGATTTTTTCATTTAAAAAGTAATAAATGCACACTATCTGGATATTTGAGGAAAGAAGCAAACAATAAAAGTGGGAAAGTGAGGAGCTAGAGGGAGAAAAGGAGAAGGGGAAGGAGGAAGGGAGGCAAGAAAGGAAAGGAAGTTCTAGATGGTGGAAGACCTGCCAAGCTCCAAGTTCCATTCTCTCAGTGGAAACCTTATTCCTGTTCTCTGTGTAGCCTTCCAGAACTACCTTATGCCTAAACATGCGCACATTTGTATTTATCTATATGTTGTCAATTCTGTGACATACATCTGAGTGTGATTATACATATCAGTCTCCAGTTTGCATTACTCTTTGAAATACACACCGGTGCCAGTACTTGGGGGGGTCTGGAGCAAGAGGATCACTGTGAGTTTGAGGCCAGCCTGGACCACATAGTGAGTTCCTTACCAGACTTGGCTACTGAATAAGACCCTGTCAAAATATATATATATACCAACTTTGGACACAGTTTCCTATCAGAACACCTTTCTTAACAGTTACGTCATTCCAAGCATTTTTAACTAGTTCCCATTTCTGAAGACTAGTTTTGGTTGTTTCTCTTGAGTAAAGCCATGGTAAAGGTCCCCACACTGTCTCCTCTCTAAATCTAAGCAAGGTGGATACATAGGCAGCTACGAGAAAGTGGTGTGGGTAGACTGCAGCACAGGCTAGGCGGAGCAACTGGAGTCCTGAGCGTAGACAGGAGGCTGGTGCTCTCAAGCAGAGGCCAGATCAGCCAGGCCTTGCCTCCGGCTTGAACAGGGAGCCTGGCTGCTTGGCCTCTTGTTCCACTTTCCTCCCCATTGTATCCTGGTGAGGATGCTGGGCTGTGCGCGTCAACACTCTGATCCCAGGTGAGTGTGACACTGCACCAACTCCTGCTCCTTTGTCATTGATTTCTCAGGGTTGTCATCCACCTGCCCGATGAAGGTGCCTGCCCTGGATCAAGGAGGGCAGGCTGTCTGTCCTCCGTGCATGTATATCTCTGTATCTCTACATCTTTCTCTTTGTAACACACACACACACACACACACACACACACACACACACACACACACACACACACACTTTTTTGGCCTCCAAGACTGGGTTTTAGACTTGAACATGGGAACACAGGATCTGTCGGAGTGTCAGAAGGACCACCTGACTTCTCTCCTGAGCTTGTCCCCACATCCCAGAGTAAACAAACATTAGGGTAGAAGCAGTTATCAGGTACCATCAAGATAAACAGCCACCACATCACTGAGCCAGGGATGTTTGGCTGGGAAGCCCCACCTACAGTTCAGGGATGTTTGTGACCTCAATCATGAAGCTACAACTGCTCACCACACTGGTCCAAACCCTGGAGAGAACCCACCTGAGCATGGGATCCTTCTGTACCAACTTCTCTTAGACTCTCACCTCAGGATCTGTTGGGCCTTCCAGATAGGTCCAGAACACCTGCTCCCATACTCTTTGATTTGCTTATGTTTAAGGTTTTTTTAAAGGTAATGCTTAGTGTCCACCTATCATTCAAGAAGACAGAAAAACATAAGCAATCACTGTAGGATAAGCTTCAGAATCCTCTACTCATATGTACATATATTATTAATAGAAGTTAATTCATGCTATACTCATCATTTTACAGTGTGTTTGAACTTACCATACCACATGTAGAGATCCATATACATCGATACACTTTGCCACTTTGCATTAATACTGTACAGAATTCTGTGCTGGAGACACTCTGAAGTTGGTAAGCCAGTCCTCTCAAACGGCATGCTGGTTATTCCCACCACAAACACAGTGCTCAGATGAGCAGCTTAGAGTCTGAAACTTGGTGCACAACTGAAATGCTCAGATGAGATCCTGGTGGCGAGGACGACAAGGTCAATGCCAACCTTCACATTCCCATTTGCTCCTCTGCAACTAGACTCGTTGAGTGAAGCAGAAAGCTCAGACTATGGAATTGCTTGGCTCTGTGCACAAATCCCAGATCTGTAATTAAACTTGCTGGGAAAGCTGTTTTCACTCTGAGCTCATTTCCTTGACTTTAACATGGGACCAAGCACCCTGGGTAACTTATAATAATAGATACTCACCAAAGGTAAATGTGTATTATTTTACCTATGTTCATATTGAGCTGTGTTGAGAGTGTGGGGTCCCAAGACTCACTGTAATGCCCATCGGAACATCTCTAGGTGCCCTCTCCAGATCTCAGGTTCTGTAGAACTGTGGGGCTAGAAATGGACAAGGTGACTTTTCTACCTTGTGTCCCTCTCACTTTGATTCCCAGGGGATGCAGTCTACTTGGAGAGTGAGCCCCAGAGGCAGGAGTATGTCATGAACGATTATGGCTTCATCTACCAAGGGAGCAAGAGCTGGATCCGCCCATGTCCCTGGAACTATGGGCAGGTGAGTCCCAGACCATACAAGCCCCAAACTCATAGGGAAAGGGAAGCCAGAGCAGGGCAAACTGCTGATGCCAGCCAAAGAGCACGTCTGAGAAGAATCTCGGGTTGCTAGGGAAGCAGCCCTGGGAAGGAGGAGGGAGTGTTCTTTGCTGGTCATATCTGACTTGAATAGGATTTAAGGGCAAGGGCAGATAAAGGCAGGCCAGCCATAGGTTTGACTGAGGATGGGGTGGGGGTGGGGGTGGGGCACAGTCACAATGGAAATGGCTGCACCTGACGTTTTGTGCTTTAAGCTGAGTTTGCAGTGAGGTCTCACCTTACTCTCTCACTTTGTCCTGACACCCCCTGGTGCTGATCGGTCACACGGACACATACACAGTATGTGTGTGCCCCTGAACATCTCTCCCAGAATCAGGACTGATGAACATCGATGCATCTTCCCTGACCCCATGCCAATGCCTTTTTATTTCTTTGTTTGTTTTGACAATGGGCTTTTTCATTATAAGCAGTATGTAATTGTTAAAAAAGAAACTTGGCAAAGGTGGGTGTGATGGTGCATGCCTGTAATTCCAGTGATTGAGAAGCTGAGGCAAGAGGATTTGAAGTTTGAGGTCAGCCTGGGCTGCACAGAAAAACCCTTTTGGGAAACAGAGCTGAGGATGCTTTTCAGCTGGTGGAACACTTACTTTACATGTACAAAGCCCTGGGTTTGATCCCCAGCACCACACAAACAGGTTGTTGTGATGTACCCCAGTAATCCCAGAACTCAGGAGGTAGAGGCAGGAGGATCAGAAGTTCAAGGTCATCCTTGGCTACATACACTAGGCTGCAGAAGACCCTGTCTGAAAAACAACCAAACAAATAAATTTAAAAAAATTACAAAACCTTTGAAAAACATTACAAAAATGGACACCCAGAACATATCATAAGCACTGCTACTAACTTGATTCCTCTTGACTTATTTTCTACACATTTTCTAATGACCTTGTATGAAAGCATTAAACTCACTGCAATGCTTGACAATGCTGTATATTTGAAAACCTACCTCTTGGTTAAAGTTTAGCCCCAGCAGGTGCTCCAGGAAGTCCAAGATCAGGGATGGGGGAAGCTTCTCTAAGCTAAGCCTAGTGCTAGGAGCACTGAGGGGGAGAGGATCAGCCTTGGGCCACTCAGAAGAGGCGACAGCCAGGACAAAATGGGGGTCCTCATGGAGCCCCGGATCACTTGGATAAAAGCTCCTCACCGGGTCTTACCCAAGTAAAACCCCAAATACCCATGACCTTTCAGGCTCATCCACGGCCAAGGTGGCTGCAGCCCAGAGGAAATACAGCAGTCTCAATGGGTCCCAACTCCTCACAGAGTGTGGGCATTTAGGGGTGTTGTCATCAGTGAGAAGCAGAAGTAAGGTGTTGCTGTTTTGGGGGCTCTGGCTCCCCCTCCCCACTTTCTGTTTCTCTTCTTCAGTAAGCACATACTGACTATGTGTTCAGTACCAGGCAGAGGTGAGTGTAAGAGATGTGAAAATAAAGGGAGCATTGTCCCCAAGGGACACATAACAGTTGCTTAGCATACAGTGGGATTGCGAGACTGACAGACAGGGGCAGAAAGTTCTGGGAACCAGGAGGAAGGCTCTGGGTTTGGCAAGAGATCCTGAGAAAGCTTCCCAGAAGAGAAGGTGCTATGCTGGAGCTGCGTTAGTCAAATGAAGGCCAAGGGCAGACATGTGCAAAGATGGATGGGCCAGAAAGGTACCGTCATTGTAGAGATTACAAGGAATTTGGTGCAGCTGGAACAAAGCTGCCGGGATGGGAGTTGGTCGAGGTCAGAGGCTGGAGAAGTAGAAGGAGTCCTGTTGTAAGACACTGTTGCTGGGGAGATGTAAGCAAACATCTACTCATCCCAGATGGGGAACGAGGTAAACCAAAGGGTTTTATTGGGGTTAATCATGAGTGATGAGTTACTTATAGGAGCAGAAATGACTAAAAGACCACAATATCATCAAAAGTCCACTCCAGCATGGGTGACAGCGCACAAAAGCTGGAAACCTGGAGCTTGCTGCCCAGCCTGCAGGCAGCTGGACAGGTTAGAGTGTCTTTCCAGGTAGCTTTGTTAGTCTGAGCCTCTTCGTGGCAGTTTGGCTGATCTGTCTCTTTCTAGGCAGTTCAGCTAGTGTTAAGAGTGTCTATCAGTAGTCCTTACTGCTTATAAGGCGTGGGGAGGGAGGGACCTAGTGAATCTGGTCAGTTTCAGGGACTTCCTGAAGCCTTTGAGTTGTTTACTTCCTAAGCTTCTCTACAGGATCTAATATTTCCCATTTAACATCCTGTGTCATAACAAGCTTTCCTTTATGATGGAAGGTTAAGGTTTTAATCTCAGAGGAAACAGCTATACAACAGAGCCAGATCTGAGAGGGACTTGAAGGGCACCTCATGGAGGCTTGGCCTTGATTCTTTAAGTTATAGGGCCCTTTGAACATTATAAACTAGAAAAGTGACTTCCCTAAAGCAGGTAGGCCAGGGAAGCCTAATTCTACTTATTGACCCAAGCTCCATGAGAATAAGTGAGTTTGTTTATATTCATTGACAAAGATATGTGAAGTCCCTTCTATGTACCAAGCTCCGTGCCAGGTCTGGGGTCGAATGTTTAATAAAGAGAACTGGGTTGACAGAGCATACACTCAGGCAGGAAAGATAGGCCTCAAGTACATTGTATAACAAATTTGACAACCAGAAGGGACACACCCATGGGGGACAGTGTTCCAGAACCCACATGTGATTGGTCAGTCCAGAGCCCCAGAGCTGTGAATTTCAAGGCAGGTTGGTGCTGTCCCGTCAATATGCTGCCAATGATAAACTGGGTCATTATGTAACTGTGGAAGGAAAGGAAACCTGGCTTCATTAAGAACATCTTAGAGGCCCCAGGAAATGGAAGGGGAAGAGACAGAAATAGACTTTCCAATGAGGCAAAGTCATTTGAAAACAACTCAGTAGCAACAATCACTTCAAATGAATGGAGAGACATCTGGCTTGCAGGACATGCAAGTGGGTTGTGATACCGTAACTTTGAAACCGTGCACCTTCCTGGGAGGCTGTTCATGGCTTTTTTGATTGACAGCTACCTTGCAAATGGGTTTTATTCTACAGACACACTCTACTGGGGAGCTGAGTGGCATAGGTTGTGTATTTCTTTATTTGTCCACACACACCAAGTGCCTCCTTTCTCTTCATACCCTGCAGTTTGAAGAGAATATCATTGACATCTGCTTGGAGCTGCTGGAGAAGAGTCTGAACTTCCAGGTTGACCCGTCCACAGATTGTGCCCTGCGGGGAAGCCCCGTCTACACGAGCAGAGTTGTGTGTGCCATGGTGAGGTTCCTGGTGTGTCCTGCCCAGGGAGGAAGGAGGCTGTGGAAGGGGACCCCCAGCTTCTCACAGCTCTTCCCTGCAATAGGAGAATGAGGGGTCAAGAGACAGGGACTCTCTGAGAACAAAACCATTTTGAATGGGACTGACAGCAGATTATGGGAAATAAGTTATCTCAACTAAACCCTGAAATAGCTGGTGTGGGCCATTGCCTCTATTAATCTAAGTTACATGGTTTTTGGAGAAAAGCTGAATGTCACTGAGTTTGAGAATGATCTCGTTGCTTCTAGATTTCCTTAGTTACAATGTGTTTTTACTCTGCTCAAAGCCAAGCTCCTGATTCAAAGGAAATTGAAATAGAATACTGAATTGATATAAGCCTACTCTCCCCAGCAGGTCTGGAAGGTCCCAGATAAAGTGAGGTCAAAGGTCTCCTGTGCATCTCAGGCTGGTGGTCCTTCATCAGCATCCCTCACGTCACCTTCTGTGGTGGGAACAGGTGTTTCTAATACTTCTATACATGGCTTCTCTTTAGATAAACAGCAATGATGACAGTGGGGTGCTCAATGGCAACTGGAGTGAGAATTACGTGGACGGTGTCAACCCTGCAGAGTGGACTGGCAGTGTGGCCATCCTAAAGCAGTGGCATGCCACGGGCTGCCAATCAGTGCGCTATGGACAATGCTGGGTCTTCGCTGCTGTCATGTGCACAGGTAGGCAATGACACGGGCCCCAGGGGACACTAGAGCAGCTGTGTCAGAGCTCTTGTAACCATTTTTATCTCAGTCTCACAGTTCCCACCAGGGGACATTTGGAAGGCAGCTGTTTCCTGCGAAAAGATCTCATCACTGAGCTCACCAGTTTGGCTTTTATCAGACAGAGGTTTTGAAGTAGAAATTACACACAGCTTACACAGTCTAACAAAATGTTCCCATAAGAATGGTCCAAGAGAGACTTAAGATGAAATACTAAATGACTAAATAGCACAAAAACCAAATTGGGCTGTTTCTGGCTTAATGAATTTGTGCACACAGAAGGGAAGTGAGCACCTGACCTTTAGGGCTAGAACAACAAGGCAACCCAAGTAGAATGACCTTGATTTTGGTGTTGCCACGGGCTCAGAGGAAATTAGGGATCTAACTTGGGACAGGGAGTTAGGGAATGGGGAAGAACTAGAAGATCGATTTTTAGATAGGAGCTAGAAATCACATCGACAGAAGAGAACCTAAAAGAGTAAATGTGAAGAAGGATAGAAGGGTTTGTATGTGTCAAGAGGGCAAAGTAGAAATAGATGAGGAGGAAATTTTAAAAGAAGTAACATCTGGGCTGGGCAGTGGTAGCACATGCCTTTAATCCCAGCACTCAGGAGGCAGAGGCAGGCGGATCTCTGTGAGTTCGAGGCCAGCCTGGTCTACAAAGCAAGTTGCAAGACAGCCAGGGCTGTTACACAGAGAAACCGTGTCTTGAACCAGAGTCACTCTCCTGCTCTTGATCCCCACCCTAACTCTGCCCACTGTCAGCCTCTTGTACGCAGGCCCACGTCCCTGAGTCGGTCTCAATCAGTTAGTCATCATTCCTGCCAGCTAGGGAGATAGATCAAGTCAGGCTTCCACTTACAGGACTCTAGTAGGATGCAGGGAGGCCAGAGCTGCCAAGTAACTTGGTGTTTATTGAAGGTTTAGACCTTCTGTGTAGAAATTCCCTGTGACGGGCATGTATGCTGGGCCCGACCCCGGACAGGATGTGAAGGCCAGAGAGGCTGATAAATGCAGCACCAGGCCTCAGTCCAAGGGCATGAGGAGATCTCTGTCAGCACTGACAGAATGTGACAGTGTCTTCAGTGTGGGCTGCTGCTGCAGCCCTTATTTAGTGCCTGCCTCTTCTGCTGCTGCAGATCCTGGTCTTGAGTTGGATGCTTTGATGGCCCAGTGATAAGACATAAATAATTCTACAGCTTTGATGCCAAAAGATGAGGTGATTAGGGTGATGTGGGGCATCTGAATCATCCAGAAGGCCGATGTAAGACTGCTGGACAGAAAACCGGGCAGGTTGACTTAAAACTCCAATCCCAGCACTTAGGATGAGGCAGGAGGATCATTGTGCATTCAAGTTCAGCCTGGGCTATATAAGGAGTTCTAGATCAGCCCGGACTACAGACAGAGTGATTCCCCACACACACACACTCACACATATACACACACACAAGATGGAAGGGCAGAATGGATCTTGTGTAAGATAAAGGGGGAATCTTCCAGTGTGGAAAAACTGAGTTTGCGTGTAGAGGTAGAGAGCTGGGTTTGGGAGTGGTTGTCTGGGACAGGTGATGAAAGAGGTGGAGACCGTGGATGAAGGTTATGCAATGGCAGCAGGGCAATTAAAATGTTTATGAGAATCGTGGCCCTTCAGTGACCTTGCAAACAAAGAGTCAGGTAATGATCCAATGTGGCCCACTCCAGCTAGAGCCCAATCAGCTTCCTCCCAGGGCCACCATGTCATACGTTAGTAAATACACAGTCTGAGGAGCCCATCTATTCACTCAACATCACATAGTGGAGTCTTTCCGTGCTAGGTGCCATGTTCCATCTATTCTTGGATACAAAGATGGAAAGACCTAGCCACTTTGTTTCCTCACCAAAGTGAAAGATAAAGGTTTAGCCAAAGTAATTATGCCAACACAACTGCCACTCACATCTTAAACGATTATACCATTATTATTCCATGGCTGTTACAGTGATAACGGGCATTTCCTTTGTGCCAGGCACTGTGTTAAAACGTTGGCAAAGGAGAGTAATAGAGAAGCATGTGAACTCTGGCAGCAGACTCCTTGGGGTTTCTGCAGTCTCTTTATCCCTAGAGATTACAGTCTAAGACCCCCAAAGGTGCCTGAAACTCTGCTAGTACCAAAGCCTATCTATACATACTGTATGTTTTCTTATAAATATTTACCTATGGTAAAGTTTAGTTTACTAATTAGGCACAGCAAGAAATTGGTAACAATAACTAAAATAACTCAGGATAGTTAGAACATTATACTATAATAAAATTGCCGGCACTATTACTCTTGAACTTTGGGCAATTATTAAATATGGGCTACTTGAACCTAGCATTACAATAGCACAGCAGGCGATCTGATAACCTGGAAGTGACTAGCAGGCAGGTAGTGTATAAAGCATGGACACTCTGGAAGAGGAATGATAGTTCATGTTGTGGGCAGGACAAAACAATACAGGATTTAAAACCAAAGAAATGTTTATTTCTACAATTTCCATTTAATACTTTTGTGACTGACTGGAAGTAACTGAAACCACAGAAATTGAAATATATATTATTGGATATATTCAAATATATATGTATAAAATTGAACATGAGTATAAATACCAACACTGCTATCAGCTATCTGGGTAACTTCAGGCAAGTCACTTATGGCTCAGTTTATTCAGATATGTGGTGAGAAAATTAGTGGTACCTGAGGCCTAGGTTTATTCTCCATAGATGTCATTTTAGAAATTAGTTAATAAGACATTCTCTGAGAAATTATGCAGATTATCATGTGAGCATCCCGGAAAGGCTTTATGCTTCCTCCATTGCCTGTGTCCCTTCCATTGACTGGTGCTTTGGTTTCATTCATTTTCGTTTTCATTTGTGTATATCGATGTGTGACGTATATCGTGTACTTAACTGTATTCACTCTCCTTACCTCCCTGTCCTTCCTTCCTGCTGTTCCCTTTCTCTTCCCAAAGAGTCACCCTTCTGTTTCCTGTTGTGTGCCTGTGGGTTTATGTGTGGTGTGCTTGTGTGTGTGCACCCGCACGTGAGTGTCTGTGTTAAGCTCCACATATAAGAGAAAGCATACAGTATTTGTCTTTCTGGGGCTAGTTTATTTCCAGTTCTGTCCATTTGCCCAAAAACGTCAATTTTTTTTATCTGCCAAGAGTCACCGAAAGGACTGTGTAAGTTCACCCATGAACAGTGACTGGCTAGAGCGAGTGTTCAGTATTAGCCAGGGGTGTCTTGGTTGATCCCCCAAATGACTTATTTTTTTTCCATCTTCTCCATCGGCCAAATGAAATGGAATGTCCCAGCTAGTCTCATCCTCCAGTCTGCTGGCTTGGTAGGCCATGATCTAACTCCAGGCTGTACTGCCCAGGCGCATGGCTGGCAGCTGCCATTCACCCCACACCCCCTGTTCTTCCCACTTACACTGGATACCTTCCAGTGTTTCTGATCCTTCCCACCACCTGTGAAGTAGATATCATTATAGCTCGTGACCATGTGACTCATGAATGAGTCAGAAATACTTTCTTTTGTTTTGCTTGAGACAGGGTGTCTTTATGTAGCACAGGTGGTCTTGGAGCTTGCTATGTAGACCAGGCTAGCCTTGAACTCGAGGAGATATGCCTGTCTCTGCCTCTCACATGCTGAGATTAAAGGTGTGTACCACCATGCCAGGTCTAAAAATTCATTCTTAAACTGGGGATGTAGCTCCTTGGCAGGATCTTAGTTTGGCATGTTTGAAGCCCTAGCTTGATGACAGTACAACCAAAACAGAGTGCACTCTGCTGTCTACAGCCCCCAGCCCAGGGTTGTCTTTTTGACATAATATTTATCAAACATAATGACTTCAACTGCCTGTAGAAAAATCACAAAAGGAGGCTTTGTTTTCATCAAAGATGTATACATATATTGTGCAGGGAGTTTTCTTTGGCATCCGTTTGTAGGTGGTTACTTGGTAATTAAAAAGAAATTCCTGGCCCACCCTTCTGAGCTCAGGGCCAGCTTCCAGAGAGCTCTAGGGCATTGGGCTCTTCCTCTTCAGGCCTCTAGTCTAGAGAAGATTGGAACCCTCAGCCCTTGAGTGGGGTCTGAGAAGTATCCTGGATGCCTTGCCCTGTGGTAGGGGACCAGAAGGGACAGTGGGCTCTGCTGCTGAAAGCGCTCCCCAGAAGTCAGGGGTTATGTGGTTCTATACTAAACCCACTAGTGGGTAGACATGTTTTGTTTTGTGCTATTATTGGTGTTTCTGAGACTCACTCTGTAGCCTAGGCATTCCTCCTCCTCCTCCTCCTCCTCCTCCTCCTCCTCCTCCCTCGGACTCCCAAGTGCTAGGATTATGTGTATGCCACCCTGCTTAGCTTCAGCAGGCTTTCTTTGTGAGGTGATGATGAAATGCTCTAGAATTAACTAGCTTAGATTGTGACACAACTTGTCCAAATAGCACAAACCAGTGAACTGTACATTTGATAAAGGTGAACTGTAGGATATGAGTTACACCATAAGGGCTGGAGAGATGGCTCAGCCGCTAAAGGCTAGGCTCACAACCAAAAATATAAGAGTTACACCTTAAGTAAGAAAGCTGCTTGAGAAAAATCCAAGCATCCTGGAAATAAGCCCGCCTTGCTTTTTACCGTACCCATATGAGCTTGGGGTAGGTGGGACAGCCATGGCATGGGCAAAAAGGCACTAATATGGAACTGGTGTGTGGAGCTTGTCCCTTCCTATTAAAAAAAAATGGAGCCCTAAGCCTTGGGAGCCTTATTGAGAAGGCGATGCAGGAACTGATGTGAGAGCTGTGGGCTGATCCTCCCCTCAACCACAGCAACCCCACCTGTGTGTCTTTTATTGACTGGATTCCACCTTGAGTAGACTTGGGGCAGTGTCTTCCAGTTAGAGCTTTTGAACCCCTCCCAGATCGACGCTTTTTAAGATGTGTTCTCACTGAGCTGTGTATGGATCTCTACAAAGTATCTCATCATAATTTCAATACAGCTCTTGTCCTCATTCTTTCTACCGAGCTCTCCAAGAAGGAGCCTCATCCAAGGGCCTGATGCTTTATTTTCCCCCAACCTTCCTTTGGATCTCAGTCCAAACTTGCACAATGCCCTGGCTGGAACACTTATCTCCCGTTATTTTCCACTGATTTATGAGCATGGAGACTGTATGGAATGTTCCCTCGTGGGGTTGTTGGTAAACATATGACACCTCTTTGGAAAGAAGTCTGGCACAGAGCTTTCCACAAGCGTTAGCTGTCATCATTGGGATACTGTGTTAGGCTTTGCTTCTTGGGCTCCCGTGGTTTGGCAGCAGCTTGTTTAAAGATCTCTCCATCCATTTCCCAAACAGTCCTGTAGCCTCTCCATCATTCTCCCCACCTTATTCTTCCTCTCTTTCTTGGAATATTTAGGGTTGCAATTGATCACATTCCTTACTCTGCAGTATTACCATAATTGATCTGCTTCTACCCTAAAAACCATGAGTTACTCTTCTTTTATCCCGTACCTCACTTTCATGCAGTACCTACCCACAAAACACTTTAATTTGTTTGACATGTAGCACTGTAGTGGAAAACGTTCTCACAAAAAAAATTATTGTCAATGTGCATTTTTTCTTAATTTTTTTTAGATTTTATTTTATGTTTATGAATGTTTTGCCTGCATGCATGTTTGTGCACCATGTGCGTGCCTAGTGCCTGCAGAAGTCAAAATGGTGTCAGATTCCTTGGAACTGGAGTTACCATGGTTGTGAGCCACCATGTGGGTGCTGGGAACTGAACCCAGATCCGCTGCAAGAGCAGCAAGTGTTCCTGACCACTGAGCTGTCTTTCCAGCCCCCTATCCATGTACAACTTTTATTCAATATGTTTTTTGTGTCACGTGTTGCATTTTGTCATTTGGAAACTGAAAGCATCTAGACAGAAGTGGAAAGGTAACAGGGGTCATCACATGTAAATGTAATCACTTTGACTGCAGAGAAGCTTCGATGGTAGCTCTCAGTATCAGGCCTGGTGTATGCTGCAATATACTGTGGGAACTCTGAAGCCCTTTCCTAACTGAATATCTATCTTGGCCAAATTGCCATTGCCCGAGTATGCAGGCATGTGTGGGTATGCACACAAAATGCCCACATGGGTCTCTCCTTTGTGAGATTCAAATCCCACAAATTTGTCATGTCAGATTGTGAGTTGCCAGAACTGATAGTCTGTAGACAACCTTGTTCACAAGCTAAGGCAATTTATTTAACAGAAAGTGAATGAGCATGGTTTGTTCCCGGCACTGTGCTTGGAATGAAGAAATACAAGTGAAGCGCCTTCTGGAAGCCTCACTTTGAGGTTATTTGTAACCTGGCCAACAAGATAAAATAGAGATGCTAAATTACAGAGCACTCAATCTAGTGCTAACACGTGTGGGTGGCTGGAAATCTGTTGACAGCATAAGCAGGAGGCTAATGTGACCTAGAGCAGTCAGAGAAACTTCAAAGACGAAGGTGTATCGAGATCACAGGTGGCTGGGATGCAAGTGGCGAGGGTGGAGCTTGTGGTTAGAGCAAGGAAGGGACTGGGGAAACCGGAGCCCAAGTCCTGACCCGACCCCTCTCCCTGATTTCACCTCTCCAAGCTTCAGGTGTGGCCTCCTGTGTTTCATGCTCTATATAAGGAACCCTCCTTGCCAGCACGGTGGGTCCCATTTTTATACCAGCACTCAGGAGGCTGAGGCAGGAGGATAGCTAGAGGCCTAAAGTCAACCTGGTCTACAAAGTAGGATTCTGCCTCAAAAAACAACTTCCCTACCTCAACAAAAACAAAATAAGGGGGCAGGCTGTAGCTTAGTGGTAGAGCACTTGCCTAGTAGGGGTAAAGCCCCAGGTTCAAACCTTAGCACCACAGGACTCCTGATTTGAATCTTGTGCCTCTATGGAGACCTCACTGTTACTAAACATCTCTATAGCTGAGCTGCTTCAAGTCTTCCCTGTATACCTCTTTAGTCAAGGACAACATCTTCACTGTAGGTATTGGCCATGAGGTCAAGTGCAGTATAAGCATTATCTCACTTAATCCTCTCCAGGACTCTATGTTTTTCTCACTTTTAAAGGTGACATACCTTAGCTTAGGGAGGTGAGGTCACATGGCAAGGAGAGGAAAGACAGGCCAGGACTTAGGCCCAGAAAAAAAAAAAGGAGCCATGTCTACAGCTCAATGGCACGGCACTTCTCTAGCATGTTTGAAGCCCTGAACTCAATCTCTAGTTACAAGAAGAGGAGGACGAGGACAGCCCTGGGTTTGTCTCCAGCACGGTTGGATTTGGGGACAGATACCTGTAAATCCACCCTAAAGAGCCTAAACTAAGATCTATAGGCAGTAAAAGGTCCAAACTGAAGTGTGAACCTGTCTAAATGACAGCAGCATGTGTGGTAAACCTTTACAAACATTTGGTATTTTACTGAGGAAGAGGAGAAACTGTTCTTGTCCCTCTCTTCATTCTGTCCCACTGCAATAGCCTACCCGCTTCTCAGTCTTCTCATAGGCCATGACAAGTTCAAGGAAGAATGGATCAGTGTAAATCCATCACTGTGCTCTATAGACAGGCCAGTTTGGTGCCCAGGGTGTACGTATAGCCATTATGATAGTGTGTGTTGAAGTCAGAAATCATTAGAATGTGCATCATCCATCCATCCATCCATGCAGCAAGTATCGGCACATCAGGCCTTGCCCTGTATTGTTAATGGCTGTGCAATGGTAAAGATGAGTAACATAATCTTTGCCCTTAGGAAGGCAGACTCATCAACAAACCATTACAGAACGTGTGTTAGGGTGAGAAAGGGCCCATCAGGCCACAGCTATCACGAGCTGACACTAGTCCTGGCACTTTGAGTGGCCATTGCTGGACTCCCCCCTCAGAGTGGAAAAGGGAGGAAGCTGCTTTCTGCTCTCTGCCTGCTGCCCTGCCTTGGCATGCTCTCTTGCTGCCGTGAGTGGCATCCGCCTTCCTGACTACACTTTTAGCATAAGTGTGCCCACACAGGGCTCCTCCATTCTTGCCACATTTCTATCTCATGTTTCTTCAGCGGCAGCTTTTCTTCCGTCGCCTCCTCTCTGAGGGTGTCCTGTGTAACCCCCACCTTCCACTCACTTATCAGGACTGCCCACTGCTTGACCTAGTTTGTTTTGGCTATGTTCAGATATGCCACTCAAGGGAGAGTTCAAGACTTCCTTTTGGGCTTCTCTCCTCCCCAAGCAAGGTCACTTCTAGGGTGTCCCCTTCCCTGACCTAGAGAGGCATGTGTCACACTACTAAGAAGGAGCCTAGTGGAGACTGCTGGCTACTTCAGAGGCTGAGGCAGAATGATCACAAGTTCAAGGCTTGCCTGGGCTACAGAGCAAGTTCAAGGTCAACTTGAGTAACTTAACAAGACACTGTCTCAAGATTTAAAACAGAAGTAGCTCAGTGAAAAAGTACTCACCTAGCACATGCAAGACCTTGAGTTCAGTCCTCGGCACCACAGAACGTAATAAGGAAGGTTGGGCTTGGTGGCACATATCCATAAACTCAAGGCTAGCCTGGGCTATGTAATGAGATCCTGTCTAAAGAAAAAAAGCCTAAATTAAAATCTACTTAAAAATAAGACATTCCAACTCTACCAATATTTGTTTTTTTGTTTTTTCACTCAGTCATTTGGCCTCTTGGAGTCAGTCCCACGGAATAAGAAGGGATTGATCTCCTAAGATATCTGTCACCATTATTTACTGTAGGAAAAATACTGGAAGCCCACTAACTTTCTAAGAATAAGCACCACTAGAAATATAGTATAGAAGTGCAGCAAATATAAAATAACATGGGAAGATGTGTGAGATGTGCAGAACACTTGATGGTTTGAACTGAGTATGCTACCGACGGGTAGACTTGGCACCGAGCACAAGCTTGGGAATGAAACCGCAGCTTGAGTGAGGGCCCTGTGTCCGTCCTGCCTGCTGTGTGACGTCTGGTCAAGGTGGCTCGTCGTTCTTAGCCTCCGTCATCAGAGTGGAATAGAAATAGCAGACACTACCCAGAGCTCTCTTGAGAACAGTGAAGGGGAAAGAGGCAGGCCGGAGCCTTGCGGCCCGATGCTAGCGATTGTGATTAGTCTTACCTAGCCAGGTCAGTACCGCTGGGCACAGGGGACAGGCATCCTTGGAGTAATTAGTGGTGAGCAGGGGTGAGGGTTCACTCACTTGAAAGAGCACGGGATGGGGTTGCAGCAGAAAACAAGAAAAGAAGTTAGCTGGCCAAGGAAACAGATATGCCTGGGGAATAAAGACAACGTTCTGCCTCTCTCCAGGGATTTTTTTGACCAGGTACACACTCACTTTTCTAAGCTTGTGTTGCATGGTTGTCCTCCTTTTCCTAGAGAGGTTTCTGACATAATATTGCCAAGAATAAAAGGGAACTCCAAGCCACAGAAACCTTTGTCTGACAATTTGATGGTCTCAGCAATAATCCTAATGACAGGAAGAAACAGAATCCAGCCTTTTGTTTGAAGATGGGAGACTTGAGGCCAGGAGAGGAATGAGGCTGAGTCAGTGCCTGCCCCACCCTGCTGGCTTAAACAGCAGATATGATAACTTGCTAGACTCTCTTGGCTCCAGCAAAGCCTGTCAGATCAGCCAGTATCCTAACCTCTGCGACAGTCATCCCATGAGATCAGAAATGGGGAGAGGGATGGAATTGCTGTCAGCGTAGCGTCCCAAACAGTCCCCGTCTGGTCCTGCAGATCCCAACTGGATGCTTTCACTAGGTTCAGGATCTACAGCACACTGGTGGTTTCTCTGTCTTTCTGCAGTGATGAGATGCCTGGGCATCCCCACCCGCGTGATCACCAACTTTGACTCCGGCCATGACACAGACGGGAACCTGATCATAGACGAGTATTACGACAACACAGGCAGGATCTTGGAGAATATGAAGAAGGATACCGTCTGGTGAGACACAACCACTCAGTCTGTTTCTTGAACCACAGATCTGAGGCCAAACCACAGCAGAAAGTAGGGCGGGACTGTGCTCCCAGCCTCTGCCCCCATCCTCCTGCTTCCTATCCTGGGGCTGTGCTCCCAGCCTCTGCCCCCATCCTCCTGCTTCCTATCCTGGGGCTGTGCTCCCAGCCTCTGCCCCCATCCTCCTGCTTCCTATCCTGGGGCTGTGCTCCCAGCCTCTGCCCCCATCCTCCTGCTTCCTATCCTGGGACTGTGCTCCCAGCCTCTGCCGCCATCCTCCTGCTTCCTGTCCTGGGGCTGTGCTCCCAGCCTCTGCACCCCATCCTCCTGCTTCCTATCCTAGGGCCGTGCTCCCAGCCTCTGCCACCATCCTCCTGCTTCCCATCATGGGGCTGTGCTCCCAGCCTCTGCCGCCATCCTCCTGCTTCCTGTCCTGGGGCTGTGCTCCCAGCCTCTGCCGCCATCCTCCTGCTTCCTGTCCTGGGGCCGTGCTCCCAGCCTCTGCACCCCATCCTCCTGCTTCCTGTCCTGGGGATGTGCTCCCAGCCTCTGCCCCCATCCTCCTGCTTCCTGTCCTGGGGCTGAGAGACAGCAGAACAGAAAACAGCCATGGGTTTAGACTCCTCACATAATCAAAGCTGTTAGACTGGGGTTGAGGTCCCCCTTTGTAACCTCCTTCTTTTAAGAGCCTAAGGGTCTGACCGTAGAGGCTTGACATCTTACTTGTGGGTATGGCAAAGACTAGGGTTGCCTCTGTGGGACACACACACACACACACACACACACACACACAGAGAGAGAGAGAGAGAGACAGACAGACAGACAGACAGACAGACAGACAGACAGAGACAGAGACAGAGGAAAGGAGCCATGAGGCCCCCTTTGAGAGAGCCGAGAGGAATTTGAACTTCAGTAGACGGGAAGCCTGCACTCTGTTCACACAGTCAGCAGAGGGATGCTCTTTTCTGTAGACAAATAGAGGCTCACAGGAGGGAGGTCTGTAACTCCTCTCCCAAAGACACTTGAGCCCTGTGAGTCTGACTTTCTGTAGCCGGTTCACTCGCTCATCCTTGTTGGTCTAGAAAGGAAACAAGGAGGCTAGCCCCTGCCTTCGAGGTGTTTAACACTGACTCCCCTGCTTCTGCCTCAGGAATTTCCATGTGTGGAATGAGTGCTGGATGGCACGAAGGGACCTCCCTCCTGGACACGGAGGTTGGCAGGTGCTGGATGCTACCCCTCAGGAAACCAGCAATGGTGAGGCTCTCCAGAGAGGAATCAGGAGCCCCTCCCACAGACCTGCCCCAGACCCTCTCTTGTCCACCATATACTGCCCACCAGAGCTTTCCTCCCCATTTTCCCTCAGGTCTCTACTGCTGTGGTCCTGCTTCAGTCAAAGCCATCAAAGAGGGAGAAGTCGATCTAAACTATGACACGCGCTTTGCGTTTTCTATGGTGAACGCTGACTGCATGTCCTGGCTTGTCTACGGAGGAAAGGAGCAGAAAATTCACCAGGACACGGCTACTGTTGGGAATTTTATTAGTACTAAGAGCATCCAGAGTGACGAGCGGGATGACATCACAGAGAGCTACAAGTATGAAGAAGGTAGAGCCGAGCAACCTTCCCGAGAGCCCAAGTTCAGGGTACCATCCCCTGCCATAGGCCAGGGAGTCGGAGGACGTGTGCAGGGCAAGACCCAGATCCACTGTCTCCTCGGTCATTCAGTTGCAAGGATTCAGTCAGGATGTCTTCACTGCCTTACTTCCCCTAGCCACCATTACCTCATGGGCCAGAGACTTCCAATATGTTCATCTCTCCTGATAGTCATTTATAGACATCCTGCCAACAGAACATGAGTTCTCCCAGCTTCCCTCAAAATTTAGCCTTCAACTGAAGATGGCAATCAACTTAGCAAACTCTTCTATTGGCCAATTTCTTTCATCTAACTTACCATTTGGTTAATTGTATTTGGTTGAGTGTTCAGGAGACAGGCCAGACTACCAGCCAGCACTTGTTAAGGTCAGTGTCACCCTCATACTCATCCACTGGGCCAGCAAGGGCCAGAGGGGATACTGAGGTGATAGTCCTGTCAGGAGCTTAGCAAAGCCAATGGAGACCATGTTGATCAGGTGTAGATGAACTCCTAGAACAGCTACCTGCTAGGTTAACTTCTAGGAAGACAAGCAAAGATATCCAGCCCTGAGGACCAGAATCGGGGTGTCACTGCTGAGTCATTGACACAGCCCCTGTATGTATTTTGAAGCCAGGTAATGTAATACCTCCTCCTTTGTATTTTTATTCAAGATGAATTTACCTATTCCAGGTATTTTATAGTCATGTCAATTGTGTGTGTGTGTGTGTGTGTGTGTGTGTGTGTGTGTGTGTGTGTGTGTATTCCTAGCTCAGAGAAAAATTCCATCAGTATTTTGATAGGAATTCCACTGACTATATAGACCATTTGGGGTTATATGAACATTTTTGGCCATTTACTTCAGTTTTACTATTTCGCAGTTGTAACAAACAAATCACAGTACAAACAAGGTTTATTTTACATTAATACATTAACTGGATTTTTGTCAAATTAATAGTGAGTTCTATTTAAATAACCATCTCCTCTCTTTGAACTCAGCACAGGAACAAACAACAGTGGATTTTGATGCATGGGGGGGGGGCGTGAAGCATTCAGAGGTAGGGTAGGTGGAGGTTACAGCCACACACCGTTGGGGCCCTCATTCCCAGACCATAGGACCTGATGGGACAGACATGCATTCTACTGCTCCCCAGGAGAAGCCCCTTGTACAAGGGAGAGGAGAGGGGAAATAATTTTCCGAAACTAGCAGGGCTCGCAGCCACAGCAGCCTTGCCTCTGATGCCACCAACCCTGGAATTTCAGGGTACAACTCCCAAAGCTTGAGGAAGGAGCAAGGAAGAACAAGGGTAACCATGTAAGTGTGGCAAGGCCAAAGCCTGACTGGTGGTCTGCTGGGACAGTGGCCTTCCAGGGACACACACAGCAGGGGCAGTGAGTAAGAGTATGGTCTGGCCTGGCCCTTGGGAAGAAACATGACTAGTCTGATGAGCCCATGAGGTAGAGTGCAAATCCACCAGACTGAGGGACTGGGATGGGGAAGGAGTGGACTGTTTGAAGGACTCAGCACCATGGGCTGGGCTAGCTTGGGAAGCCAGGAGGTGCCTCTCAGAGGCCAGGCGCCCAGAGTCTGCCCTTCCATCAGCACATCAGAGGTAACTGTTTATAATCAGAACTGGGGGAGAACAGGGCTCTCCCTGTCCTCTCTGAGTCCCAGGTGCAGTCCCATGGGAAGCCCAGGAAAGGATCATGGGAGAAGAGGCAGGGAGTTGGAAAGGCTCTACTGGGTCTTCTTGTCTTCTGCAGGGTAGTAGGGTGGTGGTGGAGGCTGTTCATGTTCATGTAGACATCATGTGGGTTGCCTGAGTTGTAATAGGCACTAGCAGCTATTTCTATGGCCTTGGCCTCTGCTGCAGGAGTGGAGGGGATGTTGGGGCCTCAGATTGGAGGTACCATAGTCTCAGGTTAGGGTGGTGGCAAGGGTTTTACACATCCCATGATCCCCACCATCATGGGAGAGCCTGGATATAATTCAAGCAGGGAAAGTGGTGGGTAGCCAAGGGAACATTCCATTGGCTACCAGCAGGGGGAAAGGCATAGGCCCTCCTGGGCATGTTAGAGTACCCATAGGCTCCATCTGGGGTCTTCACCTCTGGAGGCTTGAGATGCCACCTGGAGCATCTACTCTCCAAACTCAATGGCATGCTACACTATGGAAGTCAACATATAGAAAGGGGAGTCTTCCTGGTCACCTCCTGCTCTATCACTGTTCTCTAATGAAGTCCTCATAGAACACTGGCTGCTTGATCTCATGGTCCTTCATCACATAAAATGGCATCATGTAGGACTGCATTCTTCCCATTAGACAGAAAGATGGCCGTTAAGGGATAAGATAGATGGTGCCTTTCTTGGTCCCTTTGAAGGCCGCTTGCACATTCTTCATGTCATTAAATGTAAGAGCCACATGATCATAAGACATTAGGATGCTCTTAGTGTTGTCGATGGTCACTCCCATGGCTTCTAAGTGAACCTTGTTAAACACCACAGTCTCTGACAGGGGCTTAGTATGAACTTTTTTTTTTTTTTTTTGGTTTTTCGAGACAGGGTTTCTCTGTGTAGCTTTGCGCCTGTCCTGGAACTCACTTGGTAGCCCAGGCTGGCCTCGAACTCACAGAGATCCGCCTGGCTCTGCCTCCCGAGTGCTGGGATTAAAGGCGTGCGCCACCACCACCCAGCAGTATGAACTTTTTAACAATACTGATTCTTCCAGCCCATGGCATAGGATACCTTCCCACTTTTTTCTATTCTCTTCAATTTCTTTCATCAGTATTTTATAATATTCACTATGGAGGTCTTTTACTTATTTGATTAAATTCATTCTTAAGTGTTTTTTCTTGAGGGGCTAAATAAAAATTAGATTGCTTTCTTAATTTCTATTCTGACAATGCACTACTATCGTATAGCAATGCAATTGATTTCATAAAGATTTATTTTATTTTTATTTGTGTGTATGTATGTGCATGTGTGGGTGGGTACTCTCAGAGGCCAGAAGAAAGTATTTGATCCCTTAGAGCTGGAGTTAGAGGTGGTTGTGACCCCCTGATATGGTGCTGGGACTGAACCGTGGTCCTCTGTTAGAGCATCAGTGCCCTTAACTGCTGAAACATCTCTCCAGTCCCCTGAACAGGATTTTGGTAGGTTGGTTTTGCATCTTGTAGTTTTGTTGGTGGATGTGCTGAGGGTAGACTCTTCAGATGAGGTTTACCTCCTGGGTCAGCCTGACTGGTGCTGATCCTGTATCCTATCTACCCTTCTAGGTTCCCTTCAAGAGAGACAAGTGTTTCAAAAGGCTCTACAGAAGCTAAAGGCTGGAAGGTCTCAAGGGTCACACCAGGGAGACTCAAATCCCTTCAGCTCCATGCCACCAAGGCAAGATGGTTCTAGGAGCCTAGACACGCCTTCCCTCCGACCCAGCGATGTCATCCAGGTCTCTCTGAAGTTTGAGCTGCTTGACCCACCTAACATGGGCCAAGACATAAACTTTGTCCTGTTGGCTGTCAACATGTCACCTCAGTTCAAGGACCTCAAACTCAATTTGAGTGCGCAGTCTCTGCTGCACGATGGCAGCCCCCTGGCCCCGTTCTGGCAGGACGTAGCATACATCACACTGTTCCCTGAAGAAGGTACTTGCTTAGTTCTCCTGCAGGCCCTCTCCTTCCCCCCTTTTCTACTTCTCTCTCTCTCTCTCCCTCCTTCCTTCCTCCTGCTGACCTCTAAGGAAAGAAGCCCACTTATTAATGCAAACCTGAGCTTTGGAGTCATCTAGACTTAGGATCTAGGAATGATTCTGGGCAACCTGGACTGCTTTTTTTTTTTTTTTTTTTTTTTGGCTTTTTGAGACAGGGTTTCTTTCTGTGTAGCCCTGGCTGTCCTGGAACTCACTCTGTAGACCAGACTGTCCTGGAACTCTCAGAGATCCTCCTGCCTCTGCCTCCTGAGTGCTGGGATTAAAGGTGTGCACCACCACTGTCCAGTGTATATTGTTTTTCTTGACTGCAGCTTTCCCATCTGAAAGGTTAGTTTCTGCTTCAGCAAAATTTGGTGTACTTTGGCTCCCTCTTCTCTGTAGAAGAACCATCAGATCCAACTGAGGCCCAGCTGGCTTCCTCAGCCATTCTCACTTCTTCCTTCTTGTCTTCTCTCCCAGAAAAGACCTACCCTTGCAAAATCCTCTACTCTCAGTACAGCCAGTATCTGTCAACAGACAAGCTAATCCGCATCAGCGCCCTGGGTGAAGAGAAGAACAGTCCTGAGAAAATCCTGGTGAACAAGATCGTCACCCTGACTTTCCCAGGCATCGTGATTAATGTAGGCAAAAAGGGGGCCCTTACAAATGGCCTTGGGTCCCTGAGCTCTGGATAGGAGGCAGCCAGGCCTGTTCAGGAGGATGTCCCTTCTTTATTTATTCTGGTACCCCCAGAAGGGAACAGTTTATAGAAGGGTCTTCAGCTCCTTGTACTATTAGTGGCCTTTTGTGTGTGTGTGTGTGTGTGTGTGTGTGTGTGTGTGTGTGTGTGTGTGTGTGTGTTAGTCAGGGTAGAAACTGTGAAGAGACACCATGACCATGGCAGCTCTTATAAAGGACAACATTTAATTGGGTGGCTTACAGTTCAGGGGTCCAGTCCATCATCGTCATGGTAGGACAGGAGGTGGTCTGTCTCACTGGGCTTGGCTTGAGTATCTATGAGACCTCAAAGCCTGCCTCCACAATGACACACTTCCTCCTACAAGGCCATACCTACTCCAACAAAGCCACGCTTCCTAATAGTGCCACTCTCTATGAGCTTATTGGGGCCATATACGTTCAAACTACTACAGTGTGGATCCTTGATCTCAAGCCATAGATTCAGAGGTCCTCTCTTGTGCTGCCTCTTGTGTTGGCTTTCAGGGGCAAACATGAGGAACAGTCTAGATGACAGAGGCTCAGTGGAGGGAAGAGTCCACCTCAAGGCCAGTTCTGGTTTGGTTTGCCATTTTTCTGGCTGTGTGTCCTTGAGCAAACCCCCTGGGCCTCTGCTTTTGAAGTGTTGAAAGAGGAGAACAGATGGCAGGGCCTCTCATGTTCTGGGGCCTTTCTGAGGAGGAACGTGTTCAGGGTTCTTCTTTGTAGTGCTGTCTCCAGGGTCTACCCCAGCTCCTGGATCCCCACCAGTTGAGACTATGAGGCCCTCTTGACAGCACTTCAAAGTCTCCAGTAGACTTAAACGACATCTTAGCAAAGGAGCAACACATTTTGAGAGAAGTAAGAAGAGATGGGAAGGGCCTTGAGTTTCTAGGGGTAGCAAATTATGTATGGGAACCCAAGGGAAGTAAGGGCATGGGGGAAACCATGTCATGTCGATTCCTCAGGGCCCTCTCCGGGCTGATAAGGGACTCTTCTAGTGTACTTCTCTGTTGCTATAATAAAACACCGGCCAAAACCCACCGGGGGAGGAAAGGGTGTGTTGGTCATTGAGGGAACTCAGGGAAGGAACACACATAGAATCCGGAACCAAGAAGAGGTGCTGCTTACTGGTTTGGCCCCCATGGCTTTCTCATCTTGCTCTCTTATACAACCAGGAACACCTGCTTAGTGGTGGTACCTCTCACAGTGAGCTAAGCCCTCCCACATCAACCAGGAAAATGCCACCACAGACTGGCCCACAGGCCAGTATGATGAAAATATCTCCTCAATTCATAGTCCCTCTTCCCAGATAACTCTAGCTTTTATCAAGTTGACAATGCACAGCCACCACAGGGACCAATGTCTCAGTGATGAACTTTGACCTTCCGGGTAAAAGGAAGGGGAATGAGACACCTTTGTAAATGTATGCCTTTAGGCAAGTGGATGGAGGCCAGAGAGCATTTCCTATGTCTGTTTCTTCTTATTGCTCCAACTCAAAATAATCCTGAGGCCAAAGTAGCATATTTAGGGATGGTATATTCTGACATCCTACAAAACTGCGACTTAACATTCAGTGACCTGGGGATGACGACTGATCTCTTGCTTCCTTCCCTGTCCTGGGTCTCTGTTTAGGTTCTAGGAGCAGCCTTTGTGAATCAGCCACTCACTGTCCAGGTGGTCTTTTCAAACCCACTCTCAGAGCCTGTTGAGGACTGTGTGCTGACCTTGGAAGGAGGTGGCCTCTTCAGGAAGCAGCAGAGAGTTCTGTAAGTGAGGGCAGCACCCAGGCTTCTCTCCCATGTGTCCTGCTTTAGCATGATCAGGCCCCTAGAGGGACTCAGGACATTGGAGGGCCGAGTGCAGGAGGTGAGGAAGAAAGGGTTTTCTGACATTCTCCATTCTCTGTCGCAGCATTGGAATCCTCAAACCCCATCACAAGGCCAGCATCACTCTGAAGACTGTCCCTTTCAAGAGTGGCCAAAGGCAGATCCAAGCTAATCTGAGGAGCAATAAGTTTAAAGACATCAAGGGTTACAGGAATGTGTATGTTGACATTGGCGTATAGACTCTGAGACAGAGCTGGAGAGATGGCTCAGCGGTTGAGAGCATGGGTTGCTTTTGCAAAGGACTTGGGTTAGATTTCCCAGCATTCCCATGATGGCTCATAATCATCTGTAACCCCAGTTCCAGGGTATCCAACCAACATGCATGCAGAAAAAAAGCATTCATGCACATACAGTAAAAATAAATAAATCTAATTTTTTAAAGAAACTCTGAGATGTGCTGGACCTGTGGATTTTACACTAAAGGTTTCACAGACTCTGACATCAGCAGCAATGGAGATGCCAGAGATAGCCTGTTACTGGTCTGTTTATGAAGCTTGCCAGGACTCTTCAGCACCAGGGATTCTATGGTATCCACACAGAGGTGCGATTTGGCACAGAGGTCAAGGGAGGACAGGTCTTAGCAGCTCACTGTGGCGTTGTTGTCGTGGGACTAAACAACATCAGCAAGCTTCATTCCTCCTCCTTCACCTCGAGGAATCATCACTTTCTCTTCAGAGCTCCTCCTGCCCTTCTGTTGCCAGGAGCTTCCTGTTGTTTCAGTGCCTGAGCCCACTCACTCACTCAAGAAGTCTTTGTTGAGTGTCCAGCGTACGGCCAATGCCACTCTGAGTGTAATAGATAAGACAGTGAAAAAAGCAAAGGCCCTGGCATTGTGGCACCTGCATTCTAGCGGGAACACAGAAGACAGACACTAAACATCTCAGTAGGTGCCTAGCACAATCCAGGCCGAAGAGCAAAAATCCCCCAACATGTCTTTATACACCATGTTCTGTCTCAGTTTCTTGGCAAAAAGGGAGAAAAATAGACTAGGATATCTCTTGCCCCGACCTTCCCTTAACTATACTCCCCATGTGACATTGAAGCCATTCTTCAGTCCTCACAGTCCTGGCATCTCCATGTAACGTCGCCAATGCATTTGTGTTCTTGGAGGCCTGCTGTTGGCTGTTAGTGAGGAAGCAAAAGCCACCCGAATAATGCAGTGAGGTAGATATTTGGTGGAGACTGAGACAGCCTCAGCGTTTCCTACCTGTTGCACCTGATGTTTACCGTCACTCAGACCCTGCCCTGTCTGCGCTACCGAACATAAAACAGCTCTGCGTCTCCTGTCCCAGGATACTGCCCTCCAGGTACCGGCTACCGTGACTAAGACAGATGTCCTAGTAAATGTACAGACATTAAATAAAGAAGTCAACGACTTCCATTACACCTAAACAAAAGGGTCAATGTCGTTAATCAGAAGGAGAGAAGGGGTGTGGTGGGAATTACCTGGTAAGCTGGTTGTCTTGTGGGAGAGTCATCTAAGAACCTGGTGGCACAGCGGGCAGTAACCTACAATTATTTTATCCTCTAATTATTACATGACAACAACAAGAAATCCTGTAAGGAAAACACCCTGGAGAGTCGCATCTGACAGAGAGGGTGACCTCTGAAATTCTTGGGAATTTTTAGCTGCCACATCCTCAAACTTGTTCATGAGACCTGTTGGTAACACCACGTTCGTCAACTCACTCAACAAATAGTTACGGAGTTTCTTCGAGGCACAAGGTCCTAAGGCAGGCTGGCACTGAGGATAGAAGAAAGACCAGAGCCGGCACTCAAGGAGCTCAAGTGTAGACATTTGGAGAATCTAAACAACATGCAAGATTCTTAAAGACTTTCAATAAATAAATAAATTTTTACGTTTCTTTGGTGTGTGTGTGTGTGTGTGTGTGTGTGTGTGTGGTGTGTGTGTGTGTGCAAACATGCATGTGTGAGCATAGGAACATCATGAACGTCATTGCATACATGTGGTGGTCAGAGGACAACTTGAGGAAGTTGGCTTTCTACTTCTACCACGTAAGTTCAAGGGACTAGAACTCAGGTCATCAGGCTTAGCAGCAAGTGCCCTTACTGTTGCTACATGACCACACATGCGCTGTCCAGTAGCCAAGCAAGAGGCTTAGTCATCCTTTACATCCTTCATAATGCGTGCACTGTGTGATCACGCAATTTACGAGGGCAGCGTGATCACATAATCTATGCACATGTGTGATGCAGCTACGTAAGCCCATATGCGCATGTGTGGGGGGAATCCATGAAAAGTGGGTCACAGACTCCTCCCCCTTCTTCTTCTTCTTCCTCCCTCTTCTGCACACGTCTTCCAAATAGGCCACAGCACATTCTCTTCTGTCTCCTTCCCCAATAAACTCTTATAGTGGGTTTTGTTGTACCTCGTGGTTTTTCTTGTATGGTAAACAGCGCTGCTTAATGAATAACATGGCGCCGCATAAAACTAACACTTACCTACCAAGCCCTCTCACCTATGAAGAAGATTTTTAACAAAGAAGGGTGAGAACCATTAGTGAGGGGTAACCAGGGTGTTTTGGAGCACAGAGAGGATGAACCAGTTCAGTTCAAACTGTGGACTAAGGAAAGCTTCCTGGAGGAAGTAACATTTCTTAGGAATTACAATGCTAGGAGATGGTCAAAAACAGACCCAGGAAGTGGTGAGGCTGGGTGAAGCAGCAGCCAGACACTGCCAACCATTCGGGTGGTTAGAGGTCAGAGTAGGAGGGAGCAAACAGAAGGAAAACCATGAGGCGAGTAGCAGGCGATGAGGCTCTTCAGGAAGCCACCGAAGGAACTGGGGTCACTACTGCAGGCTTGTTTCTTCTCCATCCGGGAGCCCAGCCCCACCTGCCTCAGGTGTCAGGGCTCAGAGCAGATTCTGTTTTGCAGCACCGAACAGACTCCGTATGCCCAACAAGCACCGAGGAAGAGTTTTCCACCCTGATCAGCTGTAGTAGACTGCAGTCCCCACCAGAGTCCTTCATTCGAGTCAAGACCTTCTTCTAACCAAAAAGGCTGCTTTTCATTGGTTCATTTAATTTTATTGAGTATCTCTGTGCAAATGTTCTAGGCCTGAGAATAAAACAGTAAGAAATGCAAATGAGGTTCTCCCCACCCATCCCTAGCTGCTCAGTCCTCTCATCCCAAAAGGATAACTTACTTCTTCCATCGCCCAGTGTCGCTTCAGGTGTGAAGGGATTGTGAGGAATTTCTCTTGCTGGGGTGTGTGGCTCTGTGTTGGTGGCCCCCCCTAAGCTGAGATACTCTGCTTTCTCACAGCCCGAGTGAGTATGTGATTTATGCTGGACAAATCAGATTCTTCTCTGAGAGCTTTGGTGCAGAACAAGTAAGCCAGAGAAGAGAGGAACCTACCCCACAGCCCATCTTTCTCAATAGCAGAGGAGAGAGCTTATCACTGCTCACTGCTGCCAAGACCCCTTAGCCACCTCAGCTTCGCCTTCTCCTAGTTCTGAGCCTGATTCACCTTTTACCTCACAGTCAAGGGTATCCCTCAGTCTCTGTCATCTTTTGGCTAAGTTGGCAGAAAATGGTTTCAGTTGCATGCAGTCAAAAGATTGCCTACTTCGGAGAGGCTAGAAGACTCCTTTAATACACTCAGAAAAGTCTGACTCCGGATGCCCACTGTGCCATCCTGCCCAGTGCTCCAAGAGTTTGCCCTTTGGTCCTAAAGGTGCCTAGTGCCATGAGCCAATCTAAAGTTCAAGGAAGCAGTAGAGGCCTTCGTTTTCCCACACCTTGTGAATGGCGGTGTGGGAGGGCAGGCACTCTGTCTCCCACACCTCATGAATGGCAGTGTGGGAAGGGCAGGCACTCTTTCTCCCACACCTCATGAATGGCAGTGTGGGAAGGGCAGGCACTCTTTCTCCCACACCTCATGAATGGCAGTGTGGGAGGGCAGGCAGTGGCAAGAGGGAGACCTTGTTGCCTAGGCTCTCTGCTCTCTGCTCTCGGGTCTCATAAAGCCCATTGCCCAGTCTTTCTCCATCCCCATCTTCCCGCTGACCAGCAGGCGAGCACGCCCGCCCGTGCGATATGTAACACCTCTGGACCTACCCCCCCCCCCAAAGCCTCACTTTCTAGTATCCAGGAAGCACCAGTGCCAGCTTGGGACCCGCTGCTTTTCCCTAAGCACAGACAAAAAGAAGTTGACAGCATGATGTGGATCTAAGAGAGCCAGTGTCCCTCTGCCTCCGTTAGGATGAGGCTTGGCTTTGACCGAATGAGAGCAAGGAGCTTCCTGAAGGGAGGCAGGCCACAAGCCTGGACTAGCAAGAGTACACAGGAACTATGGGAGCCGGGGTCATGAGTGAATCTGTGGGAGTATGTGAGAGAGAGTTCTGTATTCAACATCGGGCTCTGGATGACGCTAATTTCCTATAGAGAATATTCTCTCTGCCAGTTTGGATGGGGGTAAAGCATTGTAATTGAGGCTGATTTAAAACTGATTTCTAGACCTGGAGAGATGCCTCAGCGGTTAAGAGCACTGACTGCTCTTATAGAGGACCCAGGTTCAATTCCCAGGACCCACATGGCAGCTCACAACTGCCTATAACTCCAGTTCCAGGGGATCTGACTCCCTTTTCTGACCTCCATGGGCACTGTATACACGTGGTACACAGACTGTACATGCAGGCAAAACAGCCACACATAAAACAAATTAATTAATTAAAATGAGATAAATCTAAAAAATAATAAAATGTGTTTCTATTTCCTATTTACTATGTTTTCTCCTGGAGTCCCTTATGGGGTCCCAGTCAAAAAGCCTGAGTTATTTCCTGTGACCCTTCATCCGTGGAGAGCCTTAAACTCCAATTTTGTGAGGCTGCCAGAAGATCTCAGATTCGTACACTCTCATCTGCCAACTATGAATCAGCAAATGTCTATGGAGTAGCAGTAGGGTCAAGATCACATCTGTGTGCTGTCCTCCCAAAATATTGACCCTGCCAATCCTTGCTGCCGTGATGCCTTCAAACAGGTATTTTCAACCTTTTATTTAGCTCTGCTGGCTGTTCTCAACAGAACTAATTATAACAAGCTAGTCTGCATATTCCAGAAGCAAAAATCAGTAAGAAATTAAAAAAAAACCCTGAATAAAGAGCATTCTTCATAGTGGATTGGTTGCAAGTTAATGTGTTCTACAATGTATGGGATTTGACCTCAGTTTGAATCTAGGTTTTACCATAAGCTGTGAACTGCTGGGGAAGCCTCAACACCCAGCCTGTGGCCAGCATGTGGCAAGCGTGTGGACAGCGTGTGACCATCGTGTGGACAGCGTGTGGTCAGCGTGTGGCCAGCATGTGGCCAGCGTATGACCATTGTGTAGACAGCATGTGGACAGTATGTGGACAGCCTGTGGCCATCGTGTGGACAGCATGTGGACAGTGTGTGGTCAGCCTGTGGACAGTAGGTTATGCTGTGCTTTGTTCAGCCTTGTCCTTGGGTGTGTGGGGTCCACTTCTGCTCCTTCACTGTTGGCATTACTCTGTGTGTTCTTCCGTCATGTCATACTTTATTACTAGACTTCCGAAATTCTGGAATGAAGTAGCATATTAATTGACTGCTTCATGAATTCATTCATTCATAAGTGTGTACTCTCTATACTAACAAAATTGAGATACTGGTCCCTTACTTGGCTTACAAGACTAAGGCTGAAATCATAGGAGATAATGTATGCGAAAGCACTTGTAGAGGAAGGACCGGTCTAACTTACGTGAGCCTGGGTGTCACACTGGGAGAATTCTTTGCCCTTTCTATCCCCATTAACATGACTTATCAATTTCCTTTCTTCTCGAATCTGTTCACATCTCCCTTCAATACTCCCTGACAAAGTCATTGCTATCTTTTCCCTGAATCGTGACTAGACGTCTCTTACAGGTCAGCTCCCTATCCCTCTTCGCCTGCTAAACCATTTATTTTAGACAGTGTACAGTATTTTAAAATTCAAATCTGACTTGGTGATGCTTGCATCAAGTATGGTTCAACAGCCTCCCACTGCGCTAAGAATAGAACCCCAAATCCTCAGCTGCACCCTCGACATGGTGTTCTTTCACTTATTCCCTGCATTAGTGGTTCTGCATGTATTGATCCATCTCTCACAACACCCCGGTTAGCCAGGGCCGATTTGTCCTTCCAGATTTTCAGCTCAGTACCACTCTTTTTTTTTTTTTTTTTTTTTTTTTTTTGGTTTTTCGAGACAGGGTTTCTCTGTGTAGCTTTGCGCCTTTCCTGAATCTTGCTCTGTAGCCCAGGCTGGCCTTGAACTCACAGAGATCCGCCTGCCTCTGCCTCCCGAGTTCTGGGATTAAAGGCGAACGCCACCACCGCTCGGCTCAGTACCACTCTTGAGGAAGCCTATCCTGGCCACCACTCCTAGGTCTAAGAACTCAGCAGTTCTCTTTTATAGCACCTGTCTCAAAGGCAGATTGGACTGCCAAGCTGTTTCAAGCACCCATGAGTATCTGTCTCCCCCTGCTGGAACACAGGCTTCTCGGAGACAGAGAAACGTTGATCTTATTTATTTAGTTAGTTAGTTTTTCGAGACAGGGTTTCTCTGTGTAGTTTTGGTGCCTGTCCCGGATCTCGCTCTGTAGACCAGGCTGGCCTAGAACTCACAGAGATCCACCTGGCTCTGCCTCCTGAGTGCTGGGATTGAAGGCGTGTACCACCACCACCCAGTGACCTAATTTATTACTGTATTACCAGAACCTAATATAATTTCTGGTGCACAAGAGTGGTCGAAATACTTTTTCCCCGTAGTTGAATAAACAAATCCTTCTTGGGGACACACCAGTGAGGAGCTGGTTTTCTGCAGAGGACTGGAGAGTGGAAAGGTGTGGGTGCTGCAGGAAGCAGGGTGATTGACATTCGGGGTCAGCCTCCTTCCTCTTCACACTCTCCCTCTTTCCTCTCCCTGGCTAAACCAAACCGCAGTGGTGTCTGGCTCATCCCAGGTTCCTCCAAAAGTGTCCCAAGGAAACTGTCAGGGAGTGGGTATTGTGACGGTCTCGGGGGAATTCCACCATGACAGAGGAGAGCGTCTTTGGGAGATGGTTTGATGCAGAAGAACACCCCCACAGTGGAGCAAGGCCACAGCTTTGTCCATTGCCCTAAGTAGAGCTCCTCGGCGAACACGGTTTCTGAATAAAACCTTTCTTTCCCTTGCAAGTTTTCATTTTTTTTTTTTTTTTTTTTTTTTTTTTTTTTTTTTTTTTTTGGTTTTTCGAGACAGGGTTTCTCTGTGTAGCTTTGCGCCTTTCCTGGAACTCACTTGGTAGTCCAGGCTGGCCTCGAACTC